AACAAAATACGTAAATGATATTTTAATTTAAATAATTCCGTGTCCGAACACAGTTCAACGAATGATGTAAAGGTCATGTCAAGGTCATGTCGAGGTCATGTCAGGGTCATCTCAAGGTTATGTCATGGTCATATCAAGGTCATGTAATGACATATCAAGGTTGTCAAGGTTATTGATAATATTCTTCATATTTCTCTAACAAACATATCCCTTACGTCCTTTAACACGATTATTATTTATTAAATTAGCTTTGCGAATCATTCGTTGAACTGTGTTCGGACACGGAATTATTTAAATTAAAATATCATTTACGTACATTGTTAATCTTCACTATACACCTTGCTTAGAAATTTCACATATTGACCTTGACATAACCTTGACATGACCTTGATATGACCTTAACATGACCTTCACATACCAAGGTTATATCAAGGTCATATCAAGGTCATGTCATGGTTATGTCAAGGTTATTGATAATATTCTTCATATTTCTCTAGCAAACATATCCCTTACGTTCTTTAACACGATTATTATTTATTAAATTAGCTTTGCGAATCATTCGTTGAACTGTGTTCGGACACGGAATTATTTAAATTAAAATATCATTTACGTACTTTGTTAATCTTCACTGTACACCTTGCTTAAAAATTTCATATGTTACACACAAGGTGTCATGCACACTAGAAAATTAAAACGGCCGTCACGGTTAAATTACTTACTATTTCGGGTCCGAAAAATTAGTAAATATTCTTCAGACGTTCTAAAGTAAAGGTGAACAGCGTTTTTCATAAAAATATCACTGTTACGTAGTAAAAAAAAATTCGGAAGTTCTCGCTCCGTGATTTGTTCAATACTTCGAACGCGGCTCGAGTCCGTCCCGACCATCTGTCAAAGCCTCGTGCTGCGGGCTCTTGAACTTCGTGCCGTCACCTCTTATTGGTCAGTGTTCTCCGTTAATAACTCGTAAACAAAGCCGCAGATTGCATTTTCGCAAAGGAAAAGGTTACTTCAAATGTCCCCAGGTACCCCTCATTTTCGGCTGTTAAAATAATTGTGGAACACCTGTATACTGTACTATAAGTAACTGATATGCCCAAAGAAGCAATATACATATTAGGCTCTCACTTTTTATTCATGCTGTTGGAAACAAAGGTCTCCAGAGAGGTATCGTGGAAGAAGGAGCCGTCGTCGTTGTCTCGTAGAGAGTTTTGGTGAGTATAATGGATGAGTTCATTATTTCAATTCTGGACTTGTTCTATGGGATATCTAGACTTTGAGTATTGGAATAATGGAATTCATTTTGTTGAAAAAATTGCTTTGGAAAAATTTAAACAATGACTTCATATATTTCATTCTCTAGTTTCAGGTTACACATTCGCAAATGAACCTCTGATGTCCTAGGATGGACGGATGTGCAGGCTCTGCATCGCTCGTTCTTCAGGCTGTTGCTGTTTCCGGGGGTGAGTGACATCGTGCCCCTCCCATACTGACCCCTCTATCGCGAATGAGAATCAAAGTTTAAGAAGAAAGACGTACGGCGAGCACAATGGTCATGGGTACGCATTGCGTACTCGTGAGTAGTAATTCCATTGTTTTATTTGTTAAATAGGATAGGGTCTTCTTGTATGCCGCGTTTTCCGCTAACTGATAATCTTGAAGCCATTATTTAATTATAACAGAACTTGTTGATATAATTTACATGATTGCTAGAGTAAATACAAATACTAATACACACACATTCACTGTATTAATATAAATCAGATAATTTAATTTTCTATTCCTAAACTTCAGATGAAAGTAGATGATATTAACTAGTCGGTTTTGATTAAACTATCATTAATCTTTGTAAATGTATTACCAGAAAGTATGTACAAGAAGCCAATTCGCGAACGAGATGACTCATGAGCCAAAGTCACATGTTTGTTTCCTCTTATCATGTTTGAAATTTTATGCTTTGGTGATGGGTCACTTGAGGGCTTTAATATGTAATATTTGTCTAATATATATATAAAGACTTTTCTTATAATCTTGGTTAAAATCACATTAATTGACTAATTAGATGCTTTTATTGAAATATACATTATTAAATTATTGATTGCAAGTAAAGTAGATTAATTTTTTGTATCATTTTTCATGTGTTAATTTGAAGTTTCGAATTAGTAGATATCAAATGAAGTAGATTTATTTTTAAAGAATAAAAGATCCTTAGTCCGTTAGAAATATGACATACTAATCATTTTTTTTAGATAGGCATTTCAGCATGAGTTAATGCACATTGCTTGAACCCTCACACGTGTTCAGGTGCTACTTGCGAGGGGGGCAACAACGAGCATAGTAGAACTTGCATTTACTAATTACGTATTCGACGACTGGCAGTACTTAACGTATCGTGCACGACGTATTTTTCACTTGTATGTGTGGTTAGGTAGTGGAATTGCGTCGAATTTTAAATAATAATTTAAACCAGAATTTCTGAACCAATATGTTGATCGATTATTTTAGCTATCACAAGAGCTGATATAACTGCTATTATATATTTCTATGTACTATGAATTAGAAATTCATTCAGTTAATTATCACTAATCTCAATGATGCATTTATTTCAACAAAGGTCGTGTGGCACTGTCAGGCGATTTCAGGAAATTGGTACGTACGTCTTAGAGTATGATTGTTGAGTTCAACGTTAGGATGTCGGAGGCATCCCGGGATGTCCTCTCTAGGTGTTAGGCTTTTTTGCACCCTGGCGTATGAGTGAGAACCGTGGAGAGATGTGTGTTGGTGTGAATGCATTTGCCTTCTTTTAAATATAGGGATAAGTAGAATAGGTAACTTAATTTCTGGTATGTGTGATTTAAATATAAGTAGGTAGGAGCCGGGGTTGACTGTCGTTTTTCTGTTGGTCAGATAGGCTCCTTTTCGTGGCGATGGTCAACTACTGGAATAATTCGAAGATTCGAGACAAAAGGTAGATCAACCGGAGAATGCCGATTGCTTCTAGGTTCGACTTCGAGACTTCAAATTTGGCGAACTTAGGTTCGTCATTAGTATTTCGCGTTCGCGGTCGGAAATTGGATAGGGTACGAAACGATCGACCCTGCTCAATTGCACTTAGCGAATCAATTAACGATTTGCTGACGAGCAGGTTTAGGGTTACAGTATTGGCGGACCGCCGAAGAAAAGAAGTGGCTTCCGAGCCGAAGAGGCCCCGACAAACTGTCGCTCAAGAGGGCAACTACCAATGGCATTAAATCCAAGGATGTGGTGTCATTATCTTACTACTTTGTCATTGTGATCCCAAATAAGTTGTTAGGCGTTGGTACTTACCAACCAAAGAAATAATTCTATTCCTTTTTTCTTCTCAGACCTTTTGACACTAGAAGTACATACCATGAAACTTAGTGTTGCTGATATATTAAATACTTAAATATCGAAAACAATATGAAAACAATGTTTTACCCGTCAATTTTGAATATTTCTTCTGACAGTGTCGATATTTCAGAGAGAAAACTGCATTCCGTTAGAGGGCGTACATTGTGCATTCTAATGGTAATTTTCTTCGACTTAACAGATAAGTAGATCCTAAGCGGATCAGCCATTTTTAGTCGAATCTTGAATAGAATCAGTGGTGTTATCGCTCGGTTTTCGACGTTTTAATTTGCCGTCATACTTGATTTGCGATTTGCGAGTGACGTGCAGTAAAATTCGAACAATTCCAATGAAAAGAAAATAGCCACTGACAAATTCGACTTGAAACTTGGTCACCGTTGCAGCTAGGTGAGTGAAGTATCGTTTTTTAAAATTACATTCTCGTAAACAAATCCAGGAGGTGGGGATACGAATGCACTTTGCTGCATATTGTTTCGATGACTTATGCGTGACATTTTGCCCGTGACAATTTTTTCTCTCTACAACAGAAAGCACGAGCTGACAATGGGTAATGCGGGCAGTAATCATCCTGTCGGTCATCATCACGGCGGCTCCTCGGGTAGAGAACATCGTCATACCAAAGAACATCCACCTCCATCGCCAGGAAAAGAAGGCCAGGCTTTCATTTTTGATAAAAAGCCAAGCCAGAAATTAGTTTTCCAATCGTCCCACGAGGATGAGGAACCTTATTTTACTAAAGTATGATGTCATTATATTACTGTATGATATATAAAATGTGTAAGGTATAACATTTATTGTTCAATAATTTTGTACTTTTTCCATTAATAGACCGGTGGACATCACAACGGAGATGACTTTGGTCCTCAACGTCCACGTTCCAATACCGTATCCGAAGGAACTAAAGTTGCAGACAGCAAAGTGCTACCTACAGTCTTTAAATGGGAAGGAGGTGGTAAACAGGTTTATATTAGTGGAACATTCACTGGATGGAAAACTTTACCTATGGTAAAAAGTCATGGGGATTTTGTAACAATTATTGATTTACCCGAAGGAGAACATCAATACAAGTTCTATGTTGATGGTGAATGGAGGCACGATCCTGACATAGTAAGTTTCTTTTATTATTTTTGATGTTACAATATTGATTGAAATAATATCTATCTTGGTATTTTTTGTAGAAAATTGTTGATAATGAGATGGGCTCCAAGAACAATCTTGTATCTGTAAAGAAATCCGACTTTGAAGTGTTTCAAGCACTTGCAAAAGATAGCGAAGGTGTTATTAGTAGTGCTCAAACAGAGTATGGTCAAGAAGTTCCTCCCCATAAACCATGGGAAAAAATAACTGGTCCACCCATATTGCCACCTCATCTGCTACAAGTTATTTTGAACAAAGATACTCCTTTATCTGTAAGTAGGCAAGGAAAGCATTTAGAAAGATCATTATTATTTCAGAAATTACTTTATACGGTTATTTCAGTGTGAGCCAACTCTTCTACCAGAGCCAAATCATGTTATGTTAAACCATTTGTATGCCTTAAGTATCAAAGACAGCGTGATGGTTCTCTCCGCCACGCACCGTTATCGCAAAAAATACGTCACAACCTTGCTGTACAAACCAATCTAAGCGTTTGAATCATTCCCACAGCTATCAGCAATTGTTAGTTACATCGAACGAGAACATGCGTATTTTGTAGGTAAGGTAACACTATCAGCGTTTTAACAAGATAAAATATTTGAGAAAAACTGATAGAGTACGAGCAATTTTATCCGAGATGTATAATACTGTAACTATTATTTATTAAAATGAAATATTTTACATTAGATGTCTTCCAGATAATACGAGTAATTCTTGTACGTAGATCTAATTCATAATACGCTTGGAACTTTAAACCGTGTTATCAGTTATCTCCTTCTGGTAGGCATAGGGTGGATCCGCTCTTGTCCTGAGAAAGTATGTCCCAGTAGTCGATATATCCACGTATTCTCCCATTATGGTAGTATCAGAATGATCGCAATTGCCGCTCAGAAATTGATCCCACGTGTTGCATTTATTTGCAACGAATTTCGTTTTGGGATTAATGCTCTCCGTGAAATATACGTAGGACCGACCATGACTGCATGCCTCTGCGCGACAGAAAACCAATGAATATACATTGAAATTCTTCAAGAAGACGTGCTCTACCAGGGTGCATTACCTACGACTTCAGGTATACAGCAACAGCCGGGTTGAATAGCGGTTCCACCGTTGGGATAAAAATCTACATTACCCAAAGGCTGTAAGTAGCCTAACACTCCACCGCAGGAATGAATAACATCAACAAACGACGCATCCGTGGAGTCCAATCGAGTTTTGTCGGTGGTGAGCAAATGAAATCCTGGCAGTGCAGGATCCAAGCCAGTTATCCTTCCCAAACGTCCGGATGTCAGCAAACTTCCAGTGTTCCCGGCGACATGCGCTCCAAGAGAGTGGCCTTAGAATTCGATTATAGCAAAGTGAGAGCAAGTATAACATGTTAATAATACCCTGAACGATTCGGAATAATACGTACCAAGGAAATGAATGTTTTCAGTTTTCAGACCCGTTTGCGCACTTAGGAAATCAATGAATTCAGCAGCCGTTTTTCCTACCTTTTCTGTATTCCGCATTGGCCCAAGATAAAACGTGCTCGCAGCCAACGGCTGCCAGTCAACCATTATCACGTTGAAATCGTCGTAACTTAGATACGCTGAGGATCATAAAAGAAATAGGACTTGTTCGCGAGGTAGCGATCTTAGGAACATTTTTTTTCTTTAATTTATACCTTCTTTCATTTGAACGAGACCAGCACTCATCGCGCTTGATTTCCATCCATGAGTTATGAATTTTGTTATTCGGGATGGATTGAAAGCGGACTTGCCGAGTCCGACAGTGTCGTTCGTGTACAATTGAGTGCCATTTTCTGGGCCATTTCTTGAAACGTAAGACATTTTAACGCGTTAAATGCCTTTTGCGCACCGATGATTATTTTAATTTTTATTGCGCGCTCAATTCACCATAGGTGAATCGCAACAAGTGCAATTAAATAATTCGAAAAGAATGCAAGAATTGGACGCATAGTTTCAACGTGTTAATTATAATAGCCAGACATATTTAATTGAGAATATAGTTAAATATTACCGATTATAGAGGAAGAAGGAAACTTGAGATTCGTCAAAGATGCCCCGTGTATCTAATTCCGCGTGTTTTAGTACAGCAACCTGCGGCTTTCCGTATCCATCCGGTATGAAAATCCAATCGTCTCCGTATCCGTCGTACTTTTCCTTCAAGCCACTGTTCCATGATAGACCAACTGCGAGATCATAGAAACTAACTATCAAAACCACTATGTGCACGGTCCTACTCCCGAAAATCATATTGTCAGACGCGAGAAGCTAGTGCGTTATGAAGTCGAGGGATGATTCGAAAGGAAAATTACTGGGGACTTTTAACGGTCGGCTAGAAATTTTACTGTGTAATTGCAGAGTGCTCGTATCGCCAGTCTTAATTACATAGCGAAGACCGCAGGGTAGAAGCTTCTTATAAACACTGAAAATATCCTAATGGACGTCACCAGACCCTCTCACGGCCCAGTTTCTTTTCGTTTATCTCCGACATGATATCGTATGTGCGGAAATACTGTCAAGTGGTGCCTTAAACATTGTAATCATATTCAAAGAGGTGCAGGTTTTTGCCCAATTAACTGCCGGACGCACCGGATATTTTCCTATCGCGTGAAACTAAATAGTAACGTGTATACTTTATTAAAGGGGTCTGTCGTTCTCCATACTGATAATCTTGTTCTCCTTTCAACCAAGCGGTTTGTCAGACAATGCGGAGGGAGATACAACAAAGCAATTTTATATGAACATAGAATATATTATCACACATTGTTATACAACACACTTCTTTTTTTAGCGATTCACGTTGGGATTGTTGACTTATTTCTTCCTAGCGATGCAATGTACCTTCTCGTGTACATACGAGTTAAATGACTTTATTCTAACGTTCGTTCTCTACGAACGTGTTCGTAAAAGACGGGGTAGCAGATGTGAATTTCCTCCATATGTGATTATTAAAAACACCGTGGACCTCACGTTGAACCATTCCTCATTTATGAAGTCACCTGTAAATGTACATATACAGTGTGAGCGCGCGTTCTATGTTTCGTATGAGTGTGAATTACCCACCTCTGAGTGATGAGGCGATGCCAAATTCTCCGTCGCCAAAACACCCCACTAGCGGCACCTCCGGAAAAATTTCCTTGAAGATAGTTGACTCTACTTTGTCCTTGTGGTACAAGTATTTCCCACGTGCAAAACATGCGAACATTAGTCCTATGGAATGCTTTTGTAAGCGAACGCGATGCCTCCACATTTTAACCCTTTGTCGCACCGTATTCTCGAATTTCGAATTAACGAGTAATGACCAAGTATTTATCGCTCCAGTTAAAGTAATACCGACACAGAATGCAAATTCTCCGCATCTATCGTTTTCACTATCTTTTGCATTACAAACTAACAAGTTTTTTGCTGTTCCTCCCCATACAGAGATGTTGCTTCCATAGTATCTAAATTCAAGAAATGCAATATACATATATATATGTTACCATGCCCAAGCATCAGATTCACAACATTGATATCAAATTCTCTGGAACTATTACCTTTTCCTTAAGGAATCGGATAATTTTATTGCAAATTCACGACCTCTCAAGTCACAGAACAACAGTAAACATTTAGAGTTCACGTATGAAAATTGGGTTTTTTGTGGTTTATCCAGAGCTTCTCTGATCTTTTCAATGTAATTGATAAGAGACACAGATACATCTTGTTTTGTTGTGGAATTGTCACCAATTACAAATGTTTGAATTGTTACACCTGGTATCTCGGGCAGAAATGTGCATACAACATTGTCCACATTTGCTTCAATCTCTGTGTCATTGAAGACAACCCCATGGGTCCCCAATGTCACTGTATTACAATTTGGAGGTAGGACTTTACAGTGACAATCTATAAAGTATTATTATTGAAAAAGTAGATGAACATTTAATACGTGCCAAGCTGTAATAGAAGTTAGTTACCTCGTTGAGTGAATGGTACGGAACGTGCTGTGAAAAATAATCCTAGTGCAGGTTTAATCTGCAATTCTTTAATGCATTGCGTTTTAATACGTTCCATGCTCCATTTCTCATTGACTAAAAGGTTTTTGCAGTTTTGCATGAAGTAGGTAGGGCCTCTAGTTCGTCTTTCGTCATTTGCTGCCTCTAGCCAGGATCTGGAATATAAAGCGCTACGTGCTAGCGCGAATTTACGACACCTCTAAGAAAACGGGCCGTGAAATTTCATAATATGTACGGGAGGCACACGATTATAGCAGCGCGGGACTTCTTTGCTTTTCGTAGGTGTCAATCTTTCCAAGGGGGATAATGCAAATTGAGTTTTTCCTTCGCCTTAATATACAAATACACACAATGCATAAACTTTTAATCGAGCTCGCACCTGCAAACCATCGAGGCCCTCGACAATTCCATTCCGTTCAGCTCTTTAAAAACTAATCTTAAAATATCGTAGGTTAAGGGTACATTAGTTTGTTTCTTGTCGACTTTCCCGCTGTCCGCGGCGTCCGTTATATCAATGCCATCCCCTCGTGGCCTCTTCTTCGGTGATTCCTCCATTTATCCGGTCGTTCAAATTTGACAATTGTCCGCCACAATTTTTGAACGATATACATACAATTTATTACATGAACCGACTCGAATAGTTGCCGTAGTGATTGCGCGTCACCACGGATTGCTTGTGTCACGGATAAGCATCGTAAACAGACCGTCGCTATTCGGACTGATTTTCTCCTTTCCTAGATTTGGGCTTTAATTATAATTATTGCGGTTTCGTTTCCAGGCTAACGATGACGATAACGATAATGAAAGATTACAGTATCGGGAAGCTAGAGCGTGTTTGGAAATCGTCGAATTTCGACGATGAGTCATTGAGTTTTCATAGAAACTCTACCAGAGACGCTAATGGCCTTCCACGAACGAAAGAAACAAGGATCGTGTAATGGTGAACGCCGCTGTAGCGTATCTGAATGATGACATCACGTTGACAATCGTGAAAAGTTCGAAAGTCAATTTGCTTTTGATCGAACGAGTATTTTCACCCAGATCCGATGGAGATCGAAAGCAAAGATAGAGTTCTACCCGATGATACTGGCGATCTTTGCCGCATTTGTCTTACAGCAAATCAAAATAACCAATATATCTTTGGTGCTACTCGAAATGATACAGGTGCCACGGACACGTCCAACTTTTATGATAGATTTCGTTTGTGCAGCGGTGTGGAGGTCAGTTTTACATTTAATCTTTCATTATTTCTCAACCTCCATCTGTTGCTTTATCATTGATCATTCATCCTGATTAGATAATGGAGAATGATGGTTTACCTGCCACTGTTTGCATGCAATGTGCAATTAAAGTCAATGAAGCATATGAGTTAAGAAAACAATGTCAACAAACAGATACACGGTTGAGGGAACTTTATGGAAAGTTGACAACAATATACAATGCCAATCAGTTTAAGGTCACAAAGGTGAGTGTTTAAATATAGGACATGTATGGACTGAAATTATAAGGACTTTCTTTTCTTTTTTTAGGATCAATGTTGCCAAACAGATACCTTCAACTCTGATTTTGTTAAAATAGAAGCAAATATACTTTCTACAGTTGATCATGAGAGATCCTCAACTATGGATTATATCAAAGATGAAAATGCAATTAATGAATCTCGATGCAATGAGTCCAATGAGACAAATAGTCATCTAAGTAACATTAGTATTAAAAGGATTTCAGCAGGATGTGAAAAAAGTACCTCAGGAAGGGAAACTCACAGAACAAGGAGAACTACTGTGTTCAAAAGAGTGACTTCCATGGAGAACTTAAGAAATCATAAAGAGAGACAGAGACAGTATATCAAAAAGAATGCAAATGTTAAGCGAGATATTGTAGAGAATGATTATTCAGATAATGTTAGGGATATGGTTTCTCAAAGACCTTACACCTGTTCAAAATGTTCTAGATGCTACTCCAGTAAGAAGTCCCTGGACAGACATATAGTAACACACAATGAAAAGAAATTTACGTGCGATAAATGTAACAAACAATTTCTGCAACTGAGTGACTTGGTGAAGCATAATAAACTGCACAAAGTCAAAGAGAAAGTTAAGCCAGTATTATGTAGCATATGTAATAAGAGTTTTAAGAAAACCGACACTATGGTGAGACATTTAAACATTCACAAACGGGCGAATCCGAAAGAGGTGCTTTCAATTTTGAAAGAAATCAGGGACAAAAGAAAATTAGAGAATATTAGCGAAGAATCGGTTACTGAAATGAACGATGCTAGAAAAGAAATTAGAGATTCACACGTACATAACGAAGGTAGAAGCGCGATTAAGAAGTACACTCTAGGCACCGAATTTAGAGATCCTGATATGCTAAACGCAAGAGTCGATGTCTTCGACAGCACGGCATTTTATCGTTGTAAATATTGCAATAAATCTTGCACGACGGATAAGTTACTCCAAGACCATTTGCTATCTCACACAGAAAAGAAATTCATTTGCAACGTTTGCAACATGAAATTTTTCCGGCAAGACAGACTAGAAAGTCACAAAAAGCGATACGGGCATAACGAGGATGAGACAAGTTTGGAGATTCAGAAGCCATCCGACGATAAGTCGGCCATTAAACTGATAAACAGTTGGATACGAGAGGAGCTCGATTCGGACAACGAGGAGAAAGGTTTTCCTTGTAAAATCTGCGGAAAGTCGTACGATACTAAGAGATCCTTATCAAAACACCAACTGAATACGCACAACTCCAAGGACGAAGGCTGCATAAGTTGCGGGAACAATTGTATCTGTGATGAGAAGGACAAGGACCAGCAGAAAGCGAATGAGATACTGAAGCCGTATCGTTGCGAGGAGTGCAACAAGTCCTTCGAAAAGGAAGTAAAACTACAAAGACATACGAGAATTCATGACCGCGCCAAAGAACAAGAGGATGCGAACTTCAAACGATATTTATGCCACATATGCAGCAAGACATTCAGACAGAACACAGGACTGATGTTTCACATGCGAACACACACTGGCTATAAGCCTCACGTGTGCAAGTACTGCGGTCGAGGATTCACATCCAATTCAAATTGCATCAATCATGAGAGAACTCACACCGGGGATAGGCCTTTCGTATGCCATTTCTGCAGCGCAGCTTTCGCAAAGTCGTGCACCCTTAAAGCGCATATTACCACCCATACCGGGGAGGCAAATTACCATTGTAAAACATGCGGAAAATCATTCAGAAGACTGAAATACTTGAAGGAGCACAGGTTTACGCACACCGGCGAGAAACCGTACGCCTGCAAGATCTGTGGCACGGCTTACAGCCACAACGGTAGTTTATTTGTGCATGAGAAGAAGTGCAGAGCACAGTATCAGAATGCACAAAGCTATTGTCAGTCGGAGACGTCTTCGCCGGGCGTGACTCCTATTATCACTATTCTGCCGCAGAACCATCTGAATGATATTATCGTCCCATTGAACGTTCAAGACGGCAAAACGTATGCGAACGATATGCAGAGAATGAGTTCTCCCAGCATCGATAGCGTGAGCCCTGTTACCACGCCGGAATTGCATGTTCATCAAAACACTGATAACTCGGACGTGTCCTTGTCCGTTAAAAATTTCGCTCTTATCGGTCACGTATTTCAGTCGTAAGAAATTGGAGATCGACAACCATGGCATGGACGTTGAAGTGTTTCTGTGATAAAACTTTGCGAATGTGTCTTCAACTGCTGAATGTACTTCGCATTTAAAATTGAAATTAATAGCAATTCTGCGAATCATGTTATCGAATTAGCAAGTATTAACATCCCAGTAAGCAATCTGTCCTGAGTTTTTTATGAATCTGACCGTACGCTGTTATGTCAAATACTGAGTCATCTGTTTCCGCATTTTACGCCGGATTTGGTACGAAGGTCTTGTCTATGTCAAATACGGGCCAAATACAGGCCAAATCTTCTAAGGTTGCCACATCTGCCACATGAGTGCGACCGACCTGTCCTCTTCAAACGATACGTTTCGCTACAAGATTCCGCAAAAAGTTGCCAAATACCGAGCAGACTTTTATACATTGTAGGATGCGGGGGAGTGGGTCTATTTTATTGACTATTTCGCTTGGATTCGCATAACACGGTGCAAGTAATACTATCGAATGTTTCGAATAAGATAAAAAGCATCGATTCTTATTTTTCTTCTCATTTTTATTTAGAAGAACATAAATTTTTGTTCCTCTTATCCTTTTTGATCGACGGTAGTTCAGAATTTTGTGATGTCGCCACCTGTAAGTGTTAGACTACACCTACACATTGATTTCGTTGTAAAGCGACCATAAAGTATGCTCTGCAGTCTTGCATCTTACATCAAATACGGCGAGTGTAGCGCTTACAAAGCGTCTGTAATGTGATGTGACCATACGTGATTTAAGCAGTGTTAAATGACATACTGTGGAATTCGTGAAGATTATTGTATTTTAAGATGATGTATGATAAAATTGTAGATTCCACATTCATCTAAGTCCTCGGCCGGGGCGCTCACACTACGGCTCGAATTCTTATTACAAACTTTTTACACGTTTTAAATAAAATTCTTAAGTGAATCATGAATATTCTATAAATTAATTAACATTCACGTGGTAGATTTATGTTGAGTCGTGCATGCGCATATTTTATCCTGTTGCGTTTTTTTTTTTAGTGTAATAGTACGATTTCTTGCGTCGGCTCTATGTATTTAACGTAGCCGCTTCCAGTAGATCGATAATGTTTCTACGAATTGTCAGAGAAAATGTTACTCCAGCGATAAGAGTGGTGCATTATATGTAGAAAATATGTGGTCTGAAATTGTTGAATATCTGAAAGATGCGTCCTTGGTCGCAGAGATTCAAAAAGCGTTCGGAGTGAAAATCCATCGTGAAAGGAATTTCAAAGAACATCACGATGGTAATTCCATCGACGAGACGCGCGAAATCACGTTCACAAAGTTTGAACAGGACTTTAACAACTGTACACCGAATTCTGCGGAATCGAAGAAAAATGGTCACATTGCGATCGCAAGAAAATCTATCAACGCAGTAGCTGCTTCGAACGACGAACAAAAACGTTTGCCGTCGACCTCGGACAGTTCGGATTACACCATATCAAATTATTTCTGGTATTATTTATTCCTATTCGGAACGCAATTGGGAGATGAAATATTTTATTCCACCTTTATACCATTTTGGTTTTGGAATATCGATTTGGTGATCGGTAGACGAGTTGTTTTAGTGTGGGCCATTGTTATGACCACAGGTAATATTGTCTAATAAGATTTCGTATACTTTATATTTAAGCAGAACTAATAAAAAGTATTTATTTAGGCCAGATACTGAAAGACATTATTTGCTGGCCAAGACCTGCATGCCCACCAGTAGTTCGATTGCAAACAAAATGGTCAGAAGAGTATGGTATGCCATCTACTCATGCCATGATTGGTGTATCAATTCCTTTCAGTGTAGTATTATTTACAATGAATAGATATATTTATCCTTTTTCTATTGGGTGGATGATTGCTTTTCTTTGGTAAGTGATACATTATGCTTGAATGGTGGGTCTATAAAGTTAATAATGAATGTAAAGCATAGCTATCTTTCTTTCTTTAAAAGGTGTACGCTTGTGTGTATGAGCAGGCTTTATTTGGGCATGCACACAGTGTTAGACATTCTTGCAGGCTTAATATTAGCTATTGCATTAATGGTTCCGCTGATACCCTTGGTGGACATGACAGATTATTATTTTGTCTCCAATATTTGGGCTTTAGCAATTCTATTTGCTACTGGCATACTTGTTGTAATCTATCATCCTAGAAGTAACAGGTGGACACCGACCAGGTAATAAATGAAATACTTGTGCTCTATGGATTATGTTGATGTAACTGTAAATTACAATATCTTGATTGTAGAGGTGACACGAGTATGGTAGTGTCTGTCGCCACCGGAGTTCATGTAGGGGTATGGTTGAATTATAAGACTGGTGTAATGATAACTCCCACGCACACACCACCATATCATATTCTATGGCCTTCAAATGCAATGCTTGGTTGCTTGATACTTAGAACAATACTTGGATTTTGCAGCATTCTTGCAACAAGAGTTGTGTGCAAATCTCTTAGTTATGGGACATTGTGTGCCATATTAAAAGTCAATGCCAAGGACCTTATGAAGAGTGAAAATTCATTGGAAAATAAGAGTAAGGTTCTTGTTGATCTAGTCTCTAAATATCTAACTTGTTTTATGATAGGTGTAAATACAGTATGTCTCATACCAAACGTTTTTACAATGATTGGAATAGAGAGGCCAACGTTTTACACAGAGATATGAAAATAATCAAAATGGTATACTGGATATTTTAAATTTATGCAAACTATGAAATGCAATTATCATCATCACATGTTTTACATTCCAATACCAATGCTTGTGATATTGTTCTTATGTACAGAAAGCAATTGTATATAATCTGACAATTTGTTTTTACAGCATATTTGTTGGATATTCTATAATATTCCTTATACAAAGCATAAGTTGTGTTCCCCATAATTGTTAACTAGGATCAATTCAGAGTTTGTATTGTTTGTATACAGATTTTCATTCGACTTCATAAGCCTAATAATAATCGTGCTCATTAAAGTTTTATTGTTCAAAAAAAAAAAGGAAGAAATAGTAAAAACCAAAAGATATTACTTCTTTTTGTTTCGAAATATAAATAATGTTACAATAAAACTATTTACAAGATTGATCTCTATTTATTATTTATTTAATACTGTTTGCAGCACTTTGAACAGGCATATCCAGTCTGAGTACCTAAAAATATTATTCCTTTTAACATACAGTATATTTTACAGTCAGTAGTTATCTTTACCTTGAGATCTTTGTCTAGACGACATTTTACGCTAGCTACATTTATATTGTAGGAAACTGATAGNCATTGTTATGACCACAGGTAATATTGTCTAATAAGATTTCGTATACTTTATATTTAAGCAGAACTAATAAAAAGTATTTATTTAGGCCAGATACTGAAAGACATTATTTGCTGGCCAAGACCTGCATGCCCACCAGTAGTTCGATTGCAAACAAAATGGTCAGAAGAGTATGGTATGCCATCTACTCATGCCATGATTGGTGTATCAATTCCTTTCAGTGTAGTATTATTTACAATGAATAGATATATTTATCCTTTTTCTATTGGGTGGATGATTGCTTTTCTTTGGTAAGTGATACATTATGCTTGAATGGTGGGTCTATAAAGTTAATAATGAATGTAAAGCATAGCTATCTTTCTTTCTTTAAAAGGTGTACGCTTGTGTGTATGAGCAGGCTTTATTTGGGCATGCACACAGTGTTAGACATTCTTGCAGGCTTAATATTAGCTATTGCATTAATGGTTCCGCTGATACCCTTGGTGGACATGACAGATTATTATTTTGTCTCCAATATTTGGGCTTTAGCAATTCTATTTGCTACTGGCATACTTGTTGTAATCTATCATCCTAGAAGTAACAGGTGGACACCGACCAGGTAATAAATGAAATACTTGTGCTCTATGGATTATGTTGATGTAACTGTAAATTACAATATCTTGATTGTAGAGGTGACACGAGTATGGTAGTGTCTGTCGCCACCGGAGTTCATGTAGGGGTATGGTTGAATTATAAGACTGGTGTAATGATAACTCCCACGCACACACCACCATATCATATTCTATGGCCTTCAAATGCAATGCTTGGTTGCTTGATACTTAGAACAATACTTGGATTTTGCAGCATTCTTGCAACAAGAGTTGTGTGCAAATCTCTTAGTTATGGGACATTGTGTGCCATATTAAAAGTCAATGCCAAGGACCTTATGAAGAGTGAAAATTCATTGGAAAATAAGAGTAAGGTTCTTGTTGATCTAGTCTCTAAATATCTAACTTGTTTTATGATAGGTGTAAATACAGTATGTCTCATACCAAACGTTTTTACAATGATTGGAATAGAGAGGCCAACGTTTTACACAGAGATATGAAAATAATCAAAATGGTATACTGGATATTTTAAATTTATGCAAACTATGAAATGCAATTATCATCATCACATGTTTTACATTCCAATACCAATGCTTGTGATATTGTTCTTATGTACAGAAAGCAATTGTATATAATCTGACAATTTGTTTTTACAGCATATTTGTTGGATATTCTATAATATTCCTTATACAAAGCATAAGTTGTGTTCCCCATAATTGTTAACTAGGATCAATTCAGAGTTTGTATTGTTTGTATACAGATTTTCATTCGACTTCATAAGCCTAATAATAATCGTGCTCATTAAAGTTTTATTGTTCAAAAAAAAAAAGGAAGAAATAGTAAAAACCAAAAGATATTACTTCTTTTTGTTTCGAAATATAAATAATGTTACAATAAAACTATTTACAAGATTGATCTCTATTTATTATTTATTTAATACTGTTTGCAGCACTTTGAACAGGCATATCCAGTCTGAGTACCTAAAAATATTATTCCTTTTAACATACAGTATATTTTACAGTCAGTAGTTATCTTTACCTTGAGATCTTTGTCTAGACGACATTTTACGCTAGCTACATTTATATTGTAGGAAACTGATAGATCATGTGTAAGTCCAGTTTTATCGACTGTAATTACAATACGATCTTCGTCTAGTAGTACCTCCACATCTTCGCCATTAATCTACGAAAAAATAAGAAAAAAAAACCGTTACTTTATGATGTAAATGGTGGATGAAATTCTTGTCATCTTACCCCTTTAGGCATTTCAAATAAGCCAATCAAATTTGTTGCTGGTCCTTCTATAGGTTGTTTCAATAATGTATATTTTAACATTGGAGAGTCTCTTGTCTCATTAATTTTTTTCGCAGAAGTTTCTGTTTTAGAAGACATGATTTCCTCGATCAGTGGTCTTTTAGCTTGTGATTGAATTCTTGTTTCACGATTTTCGATTTTGTGTTGTTGTAATTTGCCCATGACCTGTAAATAACATTGTAAATTGACCTGTAAATAACCATTGAGTTCATTCAGTTTCGAAAACCAGGGATACCTTGCGATTCTTAAGAATCACGTAATCCTCTGAATTTAAAACTCTATTCATCTTCATTCCTACACCATCCATTATAACTGATATTGTGAATAATAAGAAATGTTTCCTCTGCTGACATTTCTCAAAATATGTTACATTAATTGCAACATCATATGTTATACAAGGGGAACCCCCTGCAATATTAATCATATATCAATCTTGCACGAATAAATGTGATCTTTCTTTTTTAGTAGATTTATATACCTTTATCAGACTCAAATTTTTCATTGCCAATACTCATGGGTATAACAAATTCAGGATTTTCTTTTGATATTATCTCAAAAAGCTGTGTATCTGATATATCTTCAGGTGCTGGTATTTTATCTGATGTGCATATATTTAAAAAAACCTTCTCTCCTCCGTCTGTTTTCGTTTTTATACATATTCCTAAGGAATCATGCAATAGAAATATCAGTTATTATTATTGTTTATACTATTATTTCCTAATATTTATGTAGATTTACCAGGAGTTGGTTGGATGATAAAGTAAGGTTTCGTATCGATTTGTTTCAATAAATTGTCCTGGGCCGCAGTTTCCTAGAGAAAATTGCAAATATTTTTACGAAATACATCAATAATAAGAAAATATTTTGATTATTACTTTATCTACTTACTGGTAGTATTAAGTTTTTAGTTATTATTGAATCATCAACGTCGAGAAAGGTTCTGTTGTTCATGGTACGATTTAATTATTTTCTCAATTTAATTCCGGAATTAATATAATTCGATATGTGTATATATATTTTTTAAATTAATTTTTATTTAATAATCACTTAATATCGAGTAAACATGTGTATCACACCGTAAATATTACATACTCATAAAACGTGTTTGGACATAGGTCGCGCTGTAGTAGCTTGGTCGTATGTTTACGTTAGTGATCAGTAGGATACTAACCACGCGTGAGTGATCGGAGGAGGTGAATGTGTTCTAGTCTTCATATAAATATGAAAGTTTGAATTGTGAGCGACGTGGAATTTATAAATATTTGATGTTGAGGTAACGTGGAGTTTTAGTAGATATAATTTATCGATATACATTAGTGTCAAGACCAGTAAAATAGAAAACAGCAAAAGCACTTTGAAAATGGCGAGTAATACAATGGGCGGATTCACTCTACGGTATGTAAAATGAAATAAATATAATAATTTATGAGTATATTGTTGATTTTCAAGTAAACGTAGATCTCTATATGGATTCATCTATAAAAATTGTAAGGAGAAAAAACTTCAAAAAGTTACACTTGTTTTCAAATATCTACTTTAGAGACTTAACCGCGCAAGATGGCGTCGTTTTTGAAATCGGCGAATATAAGGATATCGAAGAAGAAGAAGAATTTTCTTACTCGCCGCATGTTTCGTTGACAAACGAGGAAGCCTTGAATTTATTAAATATGGATGATTTTGAAGATAACGAAAACGATGACAATAATGATTGTACCAGAGATGGTTCTTGTTCTATTTTTGGTATAAGTTTTGAAGAATTGAAGACTAAAATGACGGATATACTCGGAGATGGCAAAGTGAATAAAGTTTTATACAATTAGAAATCAGAGTCAGTTAATTTTAAGGGCACCATGTAACTTTTTTTTTATATTATTTATAGATTATGAAGCTGGTTAAACGGAAAGGAATTGGGGAAAAGATACCTTATGATGCACAAGTTATTGTAAAGTATCTTGGCCACTTTGAATACAATGATGAACCATTCGATTCTAGTTTCACTCGTGGAGGGGCAGAAACTTTCCATCTTAACAAGGGTTCACTGTTACCTGGTTTGGAAATTGGTATAACAACTATGAAGAAACATGAGATAGCAATATTCATTGTGCATCCTGATCTGGCATTTGGAAGATTCGGTTGTGCTCCTCGTATTCCCCCGAACGAGCAGATCTTGTTCATTGTACATATTATAGACTTTGTAGACAATGGATCTGTAGAGACTCTTCAGAATCTTTCCATAGAAGAGAAAAGAATATTTGCAAATGCTGTTAGACGGGTTCGGGCAAAGTTCAATACTGCTAAGGACTGTTTTAAGAACAAAAGGATCAAGCAAGCAATAAAAGAGTAAGTGTTTTCAATTATTAGACCTGGTGTTATAATAATTGTGACATAATTTTAGGTATGCAAGAGCAATTCACTGGTTGGAAGAAGCTGAGCTAAAAAATGATGAAGAAGAAGAAGAGTTCAATAGGTTGCTCTCAAGAGGCTACTGCAACCTTGCAGTTTGTTACAACATGGAGAATATGCCTCGTCGCGCTTGTAGCGCGTGCAATAGGGTAACCATTCCATCGGCAAAAGCTCATTTCAAGTAAATTTTATCAATTACAAACAGTCGATAACGAACGTATTCCCAAATGATAACGAGATTTATATTACAGTCACGGGCGAGCTTTATTTAAAATTGGGGAATACAATTGCGCAATGGAGCAGTTGCAAATGTCTCTCGCGATGGAGCCTAACAACGAAGACACAGTTAAAGAAATTAGGCTGGTAAATATCAACTTAAAAAAAAGCAAGTAGATTCCAGTGGCGTTTTAATTAATTTGTGATTCTTAGGTGAACGAGAAACAACGAAAGTATCTAGAAATGGAGAAGAAACTTTGGTCAAATTGCTTGAAGACGAAGCAGGAGGGGAAGAAGGAGGCTTTGTTTCAGACAGCCGCGCGTGAAATGTGTGAGACATTCGCAAAAGACAGTCAATTATTGAGACAACCACTTCCGGAGTCGTTAACCCCGGAAGAAGATAAATGCATCCGCGAACAGGCTGCCGCATTCGGTCTGTTAATTACCACGCACGAAAGATACGGAAGAGAAGTAACGTATCTAAACAAATCTAATTATTAAGTCCACTACCTCTAAGCTCAGTATTAAGCTTGTATCATAAAACGTGAAGAGATGCCTTTACGTTTGTTAAATACATTTATTTTTTTGCACAGATCTCCTCTGTCCTCAGTTTTATCTTACACGAATAGGATTATAGGAACTTTAAGATTAATTTGTATTTGATTAGAGACTTAAACGAAGCGGTAGAAATTCGATACAGTAGTAGTAAGATAAAAACAGATATAAAATAGAAGGTATAAAGAATATCTGTGACGAAGTACACAATTGCGGCTCTACAGTGTTCCTAATTATCAGGAAAATGGTGTATAAAAAACAGTTAGAAATTATCGTTGATCGCGGATGAGTCTTCTGAAAGAGGTTTCTCCGTCTCGTTCCCGAACAGCGCTCTATACTTCCGTCTCACCAAGTCCCATTCGACAACGTTCTCGATCCTCGTCGAATCCTTCAGAGATAATTGACTTTCCAATGGGCTAGATCTAAGTAGAGGAAAATTGATGGCGTCGTGTTGTTGCGGTGATATTCCGTTATCCTATAGGGAAGCCAAATTGCGAATAGTTATCTCAAGGTTTCTCTTGGACACGCTGACTATCGCCTGGTCTACAAATTCATTTCTATTCTGAATTCATTAGCCAAATTGAATAACCTTCGTGGGATATCTAAGGACACTGGTTCGACGATAGTCAACGTATTAGCATTTTTCATACCTGAAGGAACGGATGGCTTGCGAATAAGCGCATCGCGCGCGTCTTGCGCTCACGACGTCGTTGCGCCGTGCAAAATCTGACGATGTACGTGATCCAAGAGGAAAATAGGTTCAACGGTGACGGTGCTGTTTTTGTTCTTAAAAAAATATATATAGCCTCTAACATTTTACAATAGCGTATCCATAATATCCTACGAATCGTGTATTTCTGTTTCTAGCGATGCCGGAAGACAACTCGATGATTCGCAGGGATTTCAAACGAAACATTCAATCTACCGTGATTAATCGACGAGAAAAGATTCCTCTGTTACGTGACTCGACCTCTTTAATCCACTTATGGAACCTTTTAGCATTTTCGCCGGGTCGATCGCGCTCGTCATCGAGACGCCATCGATCGTGTATACCATCTACTTACTTCTGCATTTTGCGAATGAGCTTGCTAAGCCCGTACTTCCACTCGATGTCGCTCTGCGACTGGATGTTCTGGTACGTGTCGGACATCATCGCGATCAACAGATTGATCAGCACTATCACGCTAACCAACATGTACAGAGAGAACGATACCTGCCGGAACATTATCAGGCGATCATTGAATCATTGAATCATCGTACCGTCGGATCGCGCGGCAGCCCGTGGATCATTGTCCACGAGCGTGGTCCTGACCTTGAATAGATATATGGTCCAGCTCGGTTGCAGCTTTCGCTTTAGCGTCATCGTGAAGTCGTCCGTGTCCTTCTGGCCGAAAATGGCGAAGAACAGATTTTCCGTGATATCAATCGGATTCACTTTCACTGAAAAGAACGTAACCAAAAAGCTGCTCAGTCTCCCGAAACCCTTCGTCACAATACCAAATTCGAAAGTGTTTTAACCAGAGCTTCTATTTCCAGTCTCCGATCCAGCGATTGAGACGCATGCGGCGGAAGGGAAGGATGAGAGGACGGTGGTGGAATGAAGCGAATGAGAATGGTCCGCAATGAATTTCGAACGTGTTCGAACGAACGGCGTACGCATGAGAGTCGAGTCGAGAGGACGTGTGATCTAGCGATGAAGAATGCGTGTTCACGTATGCGACGGTCGGTCGACGCGCACCGATCCCGCTGAAAAACCGTCTCGCGGTACAATCGCGAGATTACAAGCATCGGTGATGGTCGGGCCAGCCAGCATGCACTCGTGCAGTCACACCGCGGGGATCGTTTCCCGTTTGCAATCCGGCGTAGCCGTGTCCTTTGCTGATGCTATCGGACATACAAGGCGTGACTTGTGCGCGGATACTAGCCGCTGGACTAGTACCCTCATTTTGTACGAGGTGATACAACAATCGTTCGCACTGTGATCACAGTAACATCAGTTTTCAGTGTGGGTCCCCTCTGTCCCGATTCGTTCACCGTACACTTTTTCCTCGCCGCTTCCTTGGCACGCGCGCTGTTTTCATTCGTTTTTCAATCGCGATTCAGATCCGCAGGACTTGCGTTGAGAAATGATGTTACTGTAACGATCATCGCGTTTGTAAAGCGGCCGGAAAACCACGATAGTCGTCGCGCGATCGGGATTATGAGGCAGGTTTGCTGGTAATTTAGAACCACAGAGCGATCCGATCGGGACGTTTATTTCGTTAAGAAAGGCTCGTACGGGATGAGACTGTTTACACGCTGTCCTCGTTGTCGAAATAATAAGGGGCCGGCCGGATCGTGTTCAGGGAACGGTGGTGGTTCCCGCGGGCGCAGGCGGATCCCCGGCCGGCACGATAACCAGCGAGTTTTCGAAGGTGGCCGCGGCCGTCTCGTGTTCCTCTTTCGATTCCTCGGCGTGTTTCTCGACCGTCTCGCCGTACAGATCACGGTACTTCTTTCTGACCGCTTCCCAGTCGACGACGTTGTCGATTCTGACGGCGTTACTGAACGACAGCTGGCTGCCGAGCGGGCTCAGATGGACGACCGACAACGCGACGCTGTCCTTGTGCCCGACCTGAGTCTTCTTCACTTTGGACAACCATTTGGCGCCCATTCTGGATCGCGGTGATAGCGCGTCTCTCTGCAGCCCGCCCATCAGGCGTACCAGAGACGGTCGTTGCTTATTCGCGGCGCGTTTCTTGCACACCTTGTACAAATACGCCATCCAGGTGGTAAGCAGATTCAATGGGGACGGCGCTGTGCTTGTCCTGCGCATCGACAAACGCGAGATCGGTTGAATTAAGGGGTGCACCGGGCGGAGGAGGGGAGGGCAATGAGATAGTCGGCCGGGTTAGGCCGATAATTGGACGGAGGGAATCGCAATTAAATCGCGGACATGCAAAAGAGAACGCTCGTTACTTAGAAGACTCAGAGGGAACCAACCACCGGGTCTCTCCCCCCTCTTACCTGTGCATGTTCCTAACGAGTTTACTCAATCCGTACTTCCACTCGATGTCGGACTGAGCCTGTATCCGCTGGTACGTATCGCTCATCATGGCGATTAGCAGATTAATCAGCACGACCACCGAAACCAGCATGTAAATGCCGAAGGTGAGCTTGAAGAGCACCCAGGTCCAAGCGGGCTGCACTTTCTCAACCTTGAACTGTTCGTGGGTCGTCTGACCGAAGATGGCGAAGAACAATAACTCAACGGCCAGTACGGGACTCATCCTGACTGGAAATACGTGGGAACGAATATGTCTCGTGAAAAATCTGTTGCACCGCGGCCGGCGTTCTTATAATGCAATGGCTTGTCTGTATGTTGTTGTTGTTGTTGTTGTTGTTGTTGTTATTGTTGTTATTATTTGTTATTGTCATTTGAAACGTATTAACAATGTTCGTTTATGTATTGTATAGGGATGTGAGGAGATTATTGGACGGCGTGTCGTAATTCGGCCGAAACGCTAGAACGGGGTCGAAGCACGTCGCGCGTAAACGACGTCGAATGCAACGGTGTCTTAAATTAGGGGATGCGTTCGCGACCTCCCATGATCGATCAACGCTCTCGTTTTAGCACGCGACCTTGGAGACGGGCTTGAAGCGCAGTCCGAGAAGAGGAGACATGCTGGGTCAACGTTGGACGCACGATATTTTGGCGAACAGGCCCTCGTTATTTGCCGGCATTACTTACGTAAAAAAAACGAGAGACACTGGCACGGCTCTATCTCGATAACGATCTTGAAGAGTCCCAAGCTCTCTCTACCGAAGACGTTACCTATGATGGACGTTGTGCGCCGTGCGTCGTTTTCAGAGGGAGTCTCTATGCGGGGCATCGCGTTCGATAGGGTTTACGGATCGTAAGTTCGCGATAGGTGGATCGAACTTCCGTGATTTCCGAGGCCGAGGTCGCCGGTTCCTCTACGTGGGCGGCGCTGTGGTGGCCGGCACCGTGGACGCGTTGGCGGCCGTTGGTCCGTTCTCCTCCTCGTTCTCGTTGTCCTCGTCCTTCTCGTCTTTGTCGGCCTCTTTCTCGGGCTCGTTCCCGGTCAGTGCCAAGTATTTCTTTCGGATCGAGTCCCAGTCGACCACGCTCTCGATCCTGGTCGCACTATTGAAGGACAACTGGCTGCCGAGCGGGCTTAAATGCACCACCGAGAGGGCGACGCTGTCTTTCGGCCTGACTTGGCCCTTTTTCACTTTCGCCAGCCATTTAGCGCCCATCTTGGACCGCGGCGAGAGTCGCCCGGCCCGCTGTAACCCCATCATGTGGACCAGCGAGGGTCGTTTACGTTTGGCGGCCCGTTGCTTGCACACCTTGATGAAGTACACGATCCATGTAGTGAGCAAGTTTAGGGGCGACGGAGCGGTGGTCGTTCTGCAACACGGAATCGCGTGTCCAGCCTATCCCGCAGATTTCGGTGGTTCTAAGTGTGCTACTTGACGAGAGACGCGGACACGCGCGGTTCTGTCCCCGGTAACAATGAGCCACACTCCGAGAGAGATCTATCTATCTATGTTTATAGGGACTATACGGTCGGAGGGTGTGTATGGCGGTGGCATCGAACCGCATCGCCACTCATATATATATTTGTATATATATATATATATATATACACGTGTCCCGCGGAAGCGATATACATATTTCGTGCGTGGATGGATATTTAAATTCCGATTCGAGCGCGGCGGGGGATCCGATATCGGCCTCGAAACGATATAATACCGTTCGCCCGTTTGGAGGCTTACCTGTGCATGTTTCGGATCAGTTTACTCAGCCCGTATTTCCACTCAATGTCCGATTGCGCCTGTATCCTCTGGTAGGTGTCGCTCATCATCGCGATCAGCAGATTAATTAATACGACTACCGAGACCAACATGTATACGCCGAAGGCCAGCTTGAAGAGGACCGAGGTCCACTGCGGCTGATTGGTCTCGACCTTCAGCTCGCCGTGGGTCGTCTGGCCAAAGACGGCGAAGAACAGGTACTCGAAGGCGAGTACCGGGTTCATCTTTACTGGAATTCGAGGCACACACACATATGGTTCTTTTGGTATTTTGGCTTGTTTGTTGTTTTGCTATTGTGTTTTTTTTTTATTCACGATTTTCTCTCGTGACTTGCGTATTGTTTTTTTTTTTACTTTTTTTTTATATACTTTGATTGATTGTTGCTGTTTGCTTCGTGCCGTTTAGACAGGCTGGCTACTGGTGGTGGGCTCGCTATGTATGGATGCGGGTGGTGTTATATATATCATACGCACATTATTAGTAAGTAAACGAACGAGAACGAACGATCGAACGAACGATCGTACGAACGAACGAACGAACGAACGATGAACGTACTGAACGAACATGCTCATGCTAATACAGAGACTGGCCATGCTTGCGAATAACGTTGGATGCATGCCGGACGTTCCGTGAGCTTCGATCCACGTCGTGTAACTTTCGGGTATCGTCTAAATAACTCGATCATATATAGATATACATCTATCGATCTGTTTTGCTGTTTTTCTGTACCTTTTTTTTTGTTTGTTTTTTTTTCTAATTGTTTGATCCGGTTCGTTGCGTATAGATATTTCCGTCGTTTTTGTTTCTCCCTCGTTTCGGCGCAAGTTGTCCGCTACGAGCAAGTTCGCGGGATGCATCGGGTCGATCTACAAAGCTCGAATGTGTGTTTGTGTGTATTTGTGCGTGTATATGGTTGTTGTTGTTCTGTACGTGTTAGCGTAGGTTAGCGTAGGTGTGTATCTGCTGTTGCGTGTATGTTAATCGATCGGTCCGGATGCTCTTCTCTAACCCGGTTCTCCGGAACTCGACGCAACAATCGATTCGTTTGCTCTGGACGATGAGATGCAGCATGCAGACGACGAACCGTTTTGTCTTTTGCTCCCTTTCTCGCTCATTCTCACTCTCTCGCTCTCTCTCTCTCTCTCGCTCTCTTTCTCTCTCTTCCTCGCGCGCGATCTTTCTCTCATCCTGCGTTCCCCACATTCGGTACTTTTTTTTTCTCATTTCATTGTCTCATATCTTTTTTTTTGTTTTATGTTCGCCGCGAACATACACGTACGCAGAAATAGAACTATTTACCGTGCGCATGCAAGGAGACAAGTAAAAGATTCGGACGCTTCGCTGCTTCCCGCGGGATCGTCGACGAAACAACGCAAAGCGACCGCCGGAACAAAAGTCCGGAACAGCTTTCTGGGATCCATATGGAAAAAAAGGTGCGTGTGTGGAGTTACGGGAGTCGCAGGGAGATGATGATCGGGTTATCTGGTTGAAGTGTGCTAGTCGGGTCCGGTTCGGCTACTAGTCGGGAAATCAAAACGATGATATCCGAGGCCCATCGCTCCGATGTCCTCGACATCCGAGCCGTGTTCGGCCGATTTGGTGACACACAGAGAAACACGCATTGGCGCAAGACTCGAACAGCACGAGGAAAAACAACAAATTGCTCTTGTATAGAATATGGATTGAAACACGTAAGTTCAGAGAAATGCAGAACGATGCACAACAGAGGCTGTGGAGAAACGCGCGCTCGATTGGCGCCCCCGTGATATACGAAACAAGCCGGCAGTGGTCGCCGAACCCGCTCGGCGGCCACTCTGTCGTCGCGATCTCGATCTCGATCGCGATCCTCGAGCTCGAGATCCGACCGGTGGTCGCCGAGTAGCCGCGATTCGGGCTCCCGGATCGTTTCACTTTCCTCGGATCTATGGGCCAACAGAAAACCACCGTCCGTAAGTGCCAGACCCTCCTAATCGGACTGCTCGATCGCTTCGATCATCGATCCGGATCACTGTGATCCCCTATTCATAATTGCACGTCGATTGGACGAGTCGATGGACGAGTTGGAGCCTCTATTTTCGAGACAGAAGATCTTAGATTCACTCTATGAACAGCGACTTTTATAGCGAATACTAGATCTCTCGTGGATCGCTATGATTCACAGTCTACTCGTGATTGTTCTTCGATCGCGTTAATGGACGAGTTAGACCCTCTTCTACTGGTACATCTTAGACCGACTCGGTAAATAGCGGCTTCGATTCTAGATCTCGCGTGGATCGCTACGATTCGCAGTCTACTCGTAATCGTTCGCAATTATAATATCGTAAGTTAGAAGCACTTTTATCTAGACCGCAGATCTCAGATCTCGATAAATAACGACGCCAATTAGTTGATCTCGCGTAGATAAATTCGCAACCCACTGATAATCGTCTGCGATATTGATTGCGCGAACGATTAGATTGCGGACCTCTGTGCAGAATGAAAATCAAAAGTCACAAGAATGCATCTGAAATTTTCTCACAATTTTTATATCTGTCCTTAAACAATGATGGCACGTTCAGTGTTAATAATTCAAACGTATATCGATATTCATCGATCCTATGACCGTTTCCTTTCTTTAAAGATACGCCCACGAATGCATAAAAGCCGCAGTCCACCGAATGACTCTATTCAACGATCACCGATCTTCTGTGCAAACAGATTGCACACACGGAGCGGTATGCAATTACGATGATAATCTCGATGCTTCAGAGGTTGTAACAAGTGTCCAGCACTTAGGGTCGGCGTGGGTGTTGGACAAGGTGCGTGGGCGGACAGGAAGGCCGAATCGCAGCTGGGGTTACGGGCGCTTTAGTGACAAACATTTCTCGCGTCGTTGCAAAAATTATATGTATATATATATGTACATATATAAATATATGTATATATATATATATATATAAAATTAATTTCTGTTGATTGGAATATCAGGCAGCAGTCCCAGCAGGCAACACACATCCGGCGAACGCACAATGCAGACGGTACGACACCAAGAAGAATCGTGTCCTGCATTCCGTTGTGCACGTGCCATTGCCATTCATTTCGCGTTCTGGTTTCCGGTTGCGGCGTCTCGTCAAGAAGACGTAACCCATATCGGCAAAACTTACTATCTCGGGAGTTATCGTCACAACACTCATTCTTTTTCTTGTAGCGGCCGTAGCGACGAGGAGGCGCCGTCGACGGCGTCTCCATCATCCATTCCGTAACATTGGCCAACAAATCTATTCATTGCAATTCAACCGGTTATGATGCGTTCGTCACGAGGTAAACGCGATGCGTTCATTTTATATGTTTATCATTTACTTTGCTATCGCGCGTACTATCGTTCGCGTTTCGTCCACGCGTTTTAGCGAATCCGATTGTTCGGGAACAGCGACGATTCTCTTAGAGCCGATCCTCTCTACGCGTATACAATATATATGTATATATGTATATGTATATGTATATGTATATCACGCGATCGACAACGAACAATCGTGTGCCGCTTAACGTTCGAGACTCGTTCGAAAGTCGAGGCGTCGCGGGGGCGTGGGGGGAGGGCTGGGTATCGGGTTGAGGAAAAGTATTCTCGAAAACGCACGGGCGAGCACGCCCGCGCGCGATTGCTCTCGTGGACGCATATTATATTCGTGTATGTACTCTCGCGCGTGGTCGCATGTTCGGTTTCTTTTTTTTTTAATCGTCGTGTTTGAATGCTTTCTCTCGTTTCCCGATTAGAGAGCGGCCGTGCTCGAGATTCGTATCCGAGGGATTAGAAGAAGAGACACGGCTCGGCAAAGAAGCGAGGGGAGGTTTTTCTGACACTCCCCGCTCACGGTTTCCTCTTTCGGTTACCGTCTCTAAACAGGATATCACGTGCGTCGGAACTTACCGTCGTAGAAGGCGCCCTTCTTTTTCTTGTCCTCGGCCCGGGCGTCCTGGACCGATTGGTTCTTGAACGCCTGGTTCAACGCGACGAAATGCATCGAGAAGCCGAACACGAAGATCGCCAGGACCGCGAGGAACCTGGCGAGATCCTTCATCAGGTTTCCGATAATGATCGCCCACGGGCCGAACAGATGGTGGAACGAGAGGAAGTCGAGGATTTGCACGCAGGCCAGCAGGAAGCTCAGCGCGAACAATTGGTTCCTGAGGTAGAGCAGAGTGGGCCAGTAGGGTCTTTGCACGATCACGAAGCCCATCAGATGGAAAGCGACCCCGAAGATCCCGAACAGCAACACTGCCAGCTTGATCCATCCGAGGCCGCTCTTGTCGCTCGGGTTGGTCAGCTCGAACAACAGCAGTCCGGACAGCATCACCAGCAGACACCATTCGTACCAATAGGGCAACAGGCTCGCCCTGACCACCGGGTAGATAGGAATAATGCCGACCAGCAAAAGGAAGACCATCAGATAGATGTGGGAGGTGAGGTACGACATGAACTTGATGATGGGGACGTTGTTGTACTTATGCCCGAGCGGAAGGGCGAACACCACCCAAACAGGCGGGCAGATGAGGAACGCGATGAACAAGAGGATCGTCCTGAACGCGTTCCAGTTCAGGCTGCCCTGCCAGAGCTCCTGGAGATACCTCTGTACCACCGTGTGCGCGATCACCTCCTTCTGTTCGTTCTCGATCAGAACGTCCAGAAACTCCACGTTCCTCCGGTCCATGGACGTCAGGATCCTCCCGGCGGAATCAGCGCCGGCAGCGAGGGCCAGCAACTCCGTGGCCATTGCCTCGCATTGCTTCCCGGCCGCGATCAAGTCCTTCGCTCTCTCCTTCTCCTTCTCGGACAGTTTCATGTAGATGTTAGACAGCTTGGCGGCCGTGTCTACCGGTGCCGGTGACACCAGCACGAACTCCTCGATCGGCCTGTTGTTGTTGCTCTTACTGCAGACCATCATGTTATAGACGAACTGAAAGACCAACGGGGTTTCGATCGGACTCCATCACGGAATACCGTTTAACAGGGGGTGACGGGGGATGCCGCGCGGACGGGGGAGGACTCTGGGATCGCGTGCGACCTATCTAACGCGACCGTTCGCCGAAAATTTATTGGTCCGATGATCGTTGCTCGCGTTGAAACTTTTCGAATTCCGTTGCGGCAATCGACAGCGCGACGGCGGCGATCGTCTCGGGTTTCCGGCGGGGCCGGGAGGCGAGGGGCGCGGTAGCTTACCCTCTTATCGTCCATCAGGGCGTAGGTATCGTGCTCCTTCTCCATCAGGTACTTGAGCACGTCGTTGTGGCCCTCCGAGGCGGCGAACCATATCGGCGCGCTGCCCAGGTTCGTCTCGCTCTTGGGCGAGGCTCCGCTCTCCACCAGCAACTTCACGACGTCGAGGTAGCCGGCGCGAGCCGCGCAATGAAGTGGCGTCCAACCGTTCTTGTCCGTCGCGTTTATCTCCGCACCCTGGCCCAGCAGCACCTCCACCATCTGGTAATGACCGTGGGTCGCCGCGATGTGCAGCCCGGTCTTCCCGTACCGATCCGAGCTGTGCAGCAGTTCCGCGGACCTGCTCAGCAACAGACCCACCACCGTGATGTGTCCTCCGAAGCAGGCCAAGTGCAGAGGGTTGAAACCGTTCTCTGTGGTGGCTGCTTCCACCTTCGGGTAAGCGTTGTGCCAGCTTTAGCGCGCTCGAGTCTTCAACGTTCTAACCAGTTCCGCTTTTTTCAGTTACCTGGACGCCGGCGGAGTTCAACAGCAACCGCACCACATTCTCGTTGCCGGAATACGCAGCCAGATGCAACGGCGTCATCCCCGATTCTGTACCCAGCTCGCCGACGAGGGTGCCGCCGGTCGGCGGGTCGGACTTCACCGTTCCTGGCACGTGGGTCAGCAGCTCGCGCACGGTATCTGAAAGTTCAGCGGTTTGAGAAGAGGATTCTCACTTCCCATTAGGATGATCGCAGGGGGTGCGACGGTCTACCGGCTTGGCCGAAGTAGGCGGCAACGTGGAGAGCAGTGACGCCCAGTTTCTTGCTGGATATTCGCAGCGAGGTGGAGGACCTCATCACTTCCAGGACCTGGCCGTGGCCGTGCTGAGCCGCCAGATGCACCGCGGTGAAACCGGCGCGATTCTCATCGGCGCAGGATGCACCGGCCCTGACCAAAGCCTTGACGACCTCCGCGTGTCCTCCCTCGGCGGCCAATTGAAGCGGCGTTGCCTCCGTGAGCTTGTTCCTCGCCGAGATGACACCCTGACGATCGAACTTCATCAGCTCCTCTATCACCCGCACGCTGCCCTGCATCGCCGCAATGTGCGCGCAAGTGTTCCCGTCCTTGGTGCAAGCCATCACCAGGCTCGGATGCCTCTGTAGAAACAGCTGAGCCACCTCCGCGTAATTGTTCATCGCCGCGGCGTGGATGGGCTTCTGGCCTTGGTCGTCCGTGGCGTCGATGCTGGCACCCAGCTCCAAGAGAAGCTTGCAGACCTCCAGCTGGCCGGCGCCGGCTGCCAGGTGCAGAGGGGTCTGCTTCCGCAGGGTGAGCACGTCTATGGCTGCCCCGTGATCCTGTATCAGGAACTTGACCAGATGCGAGTAACCATTCATCGCCGCCAAGTGCAACGCGGTCCTGCCGACCCTGGACTTCGAATTGATGAACGCCTTGTTCGCCAGCAACGCGTCGCAGACCTGCAGGTAGCCGTGCTCCGCGGCCAGGTGAAGGGCCGATCTACCTTCGAGGTCGAACACGTCCACCCTGGCGTGGTTCGCCAGCAGATTCGTCACGAGCTCCATGTGCCCTCTGTGCGCCGCGATCAGCAGAGGCGTCCAGCCGACCGCGCTCTGCCTGTTCAACGCCTTCTGCACCTCGGTGGCCGACATGCCACTTATCATCTCGGACAGCACCTCGTTGTTGCCGGCCAGCGCGCAATGATGGAACGCCGACTCCTGTGCCTGCTTCGTTTGCAGGGACACGTCCGCCCCGCCCTCCAGCAGGGCACGAACCACCGCACGATCGTCCCCGGGTGTCTTCACTTCCGACGGCTCGATCTGGGCGGCGTAATGTAGAGCGCTCGCCCCCTCGTTCGTCACGCTGTTGACGTAGGAGGTCGCTATTTCCGGGCCCTTCTTCTCCTTCACGAACTGGATCAAGTGCCGCACCACGTCGGCCTTGCAACCCCTGCAGGCCAAGTGCAGCGGCGTCTCTCCGTTCTAAGGGATAGCCAGGCGTCACGGAACCGCAACCAAGGACGATCTATATATGTATATTGGGCAAGGAACGAAGTATCTGTCTACCTTGGACTTGTACATCGGATCACCGCCATCCTCCAGCAGCAACAGCAACGTCGCCAGGTTACCGTGGCTCGCCGCAACGTGCACCGGCGTCTGCCCGTCGTCCGTCGTCAGATTCGGACCTGCTCCGGACTTCAGCAACATCAACGCGCATCTGTCCCCGTCCGGCACCCTCGCCGCTATGTGCAGAGGAGTCTCCCGCAGCTTGCCACCCCTCACGTGCACCTCGGCTCCGTAGCCAAGCAGGGTCTCCACCACCGCCGGCTTCGCGTTCTCCACCGCTATGTGCAGGGCTGTGTAGTTGTCGTTGGTCGTCGCGTCCACCTAAATTATCCGTGTCCTTAATTCATTCATTATCCGGTAATGTTCCACTTTTTGGACACTTTTTCAAATTTTTTTTTCTTTTAGAAACTGCAAGTTCTGAATAAAGTACTGGCATTGAAATTGTGAGAACATGTCACGTGCTCCATAGAAGCGTTAAGAATTCCTGGTATTTTGTTTTAAATCATTGTAAACTTTAAAGTTAAAGTTGGTAGAATTTTACGTAAAATAATATACGCGCACCGAAGGATTTATGGTACCGATTTTGAACCTGTAGAAATCAGACTTCATTTGCTTGGACTTCACGTTGAAATTCCATCAGCCAATCGGTACATATAACTGGCGAAAACTGTGAGCATTAACACTGAGACCAAGCATCGTACTTTTTGTCCAGGTTTCGAATATCGACGGAGTTCAACCGACATACCTTCTCGCCACGCTGGAGCAGGGTGCTTATGATGCCGACATGTCCGTACTTGGCGGCCGTGTGAATCGACCTGGCGCCTCTCTTGTTCGGCATATGCAAGTAGACGCCCTTCTTGAAGAGCATCGTCGCGCACTCCGAGTGGCCGTTCAACGAGGCGATGTGCATCAGCGTCGACCCATCCTTGGTCCTCTCGAATATGCTGGCTTTGAACTTGTCGGCCAGCAATTCAATTATGGACGCGTGCCCGTACTCGGCCGCCAGGTGCATGGGGGTGCGGTCCTGGTGGTCGGTGATAGAGGCGGACGCTCTCACCCCGTAGAAATACTTGACAAGGGTCTCGTCCCCTTCCGCGCTAGCAATGTGCAGCGCCGTTTGACCGTCGCCCTGAAAACGTGCCGAGATCGGTTTCCAACTTCCATTCGCGAAGAGGAGCCTCTTCACACTTACGTTTTGCATGTCCACCGTCGCGCCGTAATCAACCAGGATCCGCACCATGTCGATGTCCCTTCTCCTGGCCGCTAGGTGAAGAGCCGTGTCCCCGGTTGGCGTGGTGGCTCGAAGCTGATCCGGGGCTTGTTGGGCCAGCAGCTCTCGACACATCGACTGGTTGCCGGCCTCCACCGCCAACAACAGCGGAATCTTCCCTTTCTGCGGAAAAAACGAGTGCCACTTACAGGTGTACAGCAAAGTCTCCCTAATCGACGCTCAAATTCTGCAGAAAAATGGACAGAGGAGATACGATTGTTCGAGCCTTGCGACTCGATTTTACAATTGTTATTATTATGATATAATAATCGTATCTCCTCTCCCCAAATTGCTCACTTTTGTGCACAATCTGAGCGCCGATTAGGGAGAATTTACTGTACTGACGACTCACTTAGCTCGAGATTAATTCAATAATGCAAATCCAAGATTAATTGCGAATGCACGATATGTACGCGCATCGAGTATTCTAAGGGATGATTCCACGAGGCTATGGCAACAGCGAATTCTTAGATCAGCTTGCAGAATCATCTCCTAGAAAAGTCGACGTACTCGACGATTCTGTACGTGCGTCTACAACTCGATACACGAGTATTTCAAGGAACGATTCTACGAGCAAAAAATTCTACAAAAGAAGAAGAATTCTATGATAAAAATGCTAAAACGTATTGCCGATTCGGAAGCAAAGCAGATATGCTTGTAGAGTGGTCTCCTAGAGTGCCCGATTCATGGATTTATAATGTATGCGCGGATGGTGCCTAATCAGGCGCCGTTCTCGAGAGATGCGCGTCGTGTATTTACGATCCCGGCGGATCGTTTCCTCGGGGATAAAGAAGACCGGCTACGATTTTCATAAATAGCGCCGGGGTCGTGGGTACGAGGGCGTAAAAATCGACGTAGACGAGCGCGGAATCGGCCCAGTCCTCGCTCGTTTACGAGACAAAGAACGAGAACATTAGGAAAGTTGTGCGCTGTGTAGGACAGGAAAGGAGGGGGAGGGACGGATGGGAAATGGGCTAGAGAGGGTGGAGGTAAGAGAAGAAGAACCCGGCAGGAGAATTATGACAGCTGTTCGGTGCCAGGCAGTGATATTCCCGGGGCATGATTCGCGTCACGCGAGAAACGTTGCCGGGAGAATCGGGAGCATCGGCAGCGCCTAGCGCCGCGGAAAACGTTCTCCCGAATGGAAGAGTGTCCCCGGTTCGTAAGATTACGCAATTGGACTGTCGCAAGGGAGCTTCTAATCTCTTACCCCGTCGACTTTCAGCCTGATGTCCCGTCCGGCGGCGCCCAATAGCGCTCTGAGGATCGAAGTCGCGGTCCCCGTTTGCCTCGAAGCCACCAGGTGCACCGCGGTCTGCTGTCTCGGCTGTGCTCAAACATTTCGGAGACGTTCAGTGCGCCGTTCTTCGGACCTTGGACCACCATTCTTTACGGCTCGGACCGTTAACCCCATTGAGATCGAGAAAATTTGCGGGCCGCCTCGAGGATCGAGGATCCCCGTTGCGGCAGCAGGTTCCGCGATTTTTAACGCAGACACGAACATTCTTACGAATAGAGAGCAATTCTGGTAGTCCAAGGTGTAGTCGGCCTCAAGGTTGACTTTCTTAAATCAACGATAACTTCACCCAGTCACGAATCAAATTCTAACGACGCTGTTGTGCATTTTCGTGTAGCAATGCAGAATTGGTCTGTAAGCTGGGTTACTGAGACGATTGGCTCTAGAATCTAAGCACGAAGAGGATCGAAAGCGTGGACATGGAATTTCTAACGGAAGTTAGAAAAAAGAAACAGTTGTTATAGTCCAAGGTAGCTGGTTGTTTCGATCGAAACGATCTCGCGAGCCAAATGTCTTAATTCAAACAGTTTTTAACGTTGACACGCGCGACCAATGAGATCGTAACGGCTCTCTGTACATTTCAGTGTACCGTCGGGGAGCGGACAATGGTTCCCGAAAGGATTAGGGCCTAGAGTTTAACTACGAACAGGAGCGAATACGAAGACATCGTACCCCGCCGGTGGCGTAGGGATCGACGCCCCTCTTCGACAGCAGCAGCTTGACGACGTCCTCCCTGGAGTACATGGCGGCGATGTGCAGAGCATTGTAATTGTCCTGTGACAAACGGGCAGCAATTCCGTGAGGGCAAGAAATCGTTGGCGGGGGATGATCGACGGTCCGCTTTTCCATCCACAGGGTTCGCGGTTCGTAGCGTTGGTATCGAGCGGAATCGCGCGACGGGCATAGCCGGTACGGCGGCGGGGTATAAATCGGCAAGATTCTGGTGCGGCAAGGGTATGGAGAGACCGAGTTATAAATCGCGTTCTGCCGCGCCCAGAATAAAACGAACGTTCCCTCTGGGATCGAGCGATTCGGAAAACCGAGCGATGGGTGGGGCCGGTGATTCTCTCGGCTCGCGATTAGCCTCGTTAGCCGTAATGCAACGTAACGGAGTATGCGAGGGTAACCCCGGTTGCCTTTCGAGATTCCGGGAATTCACGGTAACGGGGTTGGGAATTACGCCTGACCGTTTCCGTTGGCCCAAGGGCTCGGGGCAAGTCGTTCGGTTCGGTTCGCGTGGGCGTCGCCTTGTAATCATCATCCACGGCCGCGAAGAGAAACGCGCGCCGATAGAATCGGAAAAAGCCGCGTTATCAACGGCCACGATCTCGGACTACTTTTTCGCCCTAGTGACTCGACGGCCTACTTGCCGCGGGGTGCTCGCGCTTACTTTCTCGCCGCCTCGGCGGAACCCCTTGGCCTTGGCCCTCCTTCACGCGATCTTACTACCCTCCTCTATACGACTCGAACACGGATTACACGGAGATCGTTAACTGTACACGTTCCGTGGTCTGCACCGGCCCCGGCCACGCAGCCGCTCGAATATTACGTGTCGCCGCCACGTAACGCGGGCACGGGCTTATTTTAAAAGCTGACGCCGAGACCGGGGAACCCCGGCGAGCACGAAAACTGACCCGCCGCCGTTCATGGAATTCGTCGGGACCGCGCGGACGATCGATGGGAAACCCTGATTTCCGTTAATATCCTCGATCAACCCTCTCGTCGCGTCTTGCCCCGACCGGAAGGGAGGCGAATAGCAGCGGAGCGCGTAATAAAGCGCGATCGGTACTCGAAACGAGAAGCCAATTACCGTGGCCCGGGTCGTCGATGAGAGGGTCGAGTCGAATCGGAGACCTTGCCGCGGGCATCGGGCTAGTCCACTTTGTGGCACCGAGCTCGCGCCAAGCTGTCCGATTCGAGAGGAACGTAATTAGCGAATACTTGCGTTGTTCCTGGCACCCACGTCCGCTCCCAGCTCGATCATCCTGTCCAGAAGGCCGGCACGATTGTCCTTGACTGCGTACATCAGGGGCGTCATGCCCGTCGCCTGGAAATCAGAGACGGATCGTCGTGAGATCGTCGGCGGACGGAAGGTCGTTCGTTAGATGATATCGGATTGGATCGGTTCGACGACTGACCGGGTCGGTGACGCCGGCGAGAGGAGACAGCGTGCCATCCTCGCCGGCGTTCTGCACCGCCTTCTCCAGAGATTTGAGGAGCTGGTCCACCGGTGCCCATTCTCCGCGCGCGGTAAGCCCGAGAAGCTTTTGCGCCGCTTCTCTGGCGGTAGCCCCGGCCGATCCTGGCTTGCTTCCTGGCTGTGTTCCCTCCGTGCTCGTTGCTCCTCCGGCGCTCCCTGTGGAGGAGGACCCTGCGGCGTCATCCTTCGCGGTCACCGGGCTCTCCTCTTTGCTCGACGGACTCTTCTTTTCGTCCTTGCCGGCCGACGGCTTCTTGCTGTTACTGCTCATGGCTCCTCTTGCGCGGGTCTCTCATCGTAGAGGCCCCCCCTTGTTGACATCCTTCGCGATCCTCTGCCGATCAGTCCGCCGCCGGGGAAACGGTTCGAGGATCGATCACCACTTCGCGCGCGAGAACCGAACAGACTAGACTGTTGTAGGGCCTCGCGGAGGCTCGCGCGCGTGCTAACGCCGCGTTTATCCTGCCGGGTCTGAAGACGCCGAGAGCGGAGGGCTCGCCGGAGGGTTGCCCTCCCTCGACCCGCGCTCGACCCTCCGGGAAACAGGGATCGACCAATCACTGTCACGCTAACCCCGAGCCGACCGAGAGCTCCCGCGCGATGATGCTTCACCGAACAACCACGGACACCGCGTCCTCGCCGCGTTTCCTCTCCGCCGCTGGAACCACCCCGGCGGCCACCGTAGGCCTCGCTTCCTCGGAAGCTAAGAAAATGCGCCGGTGGATTGGTGCCGGAGCACCGGAGGTGGTAGCAGCCGTGCCGGCAATGCTACTACCTCTACCCCCGCCAGGGTGGGGAGCAGAAACGCTGGTACGCGGTGGTGGCATGGTCGACGTCGACACGCGACTTCCGGCGCGGCCCGCGAGGCACGCCATCCACCTATCTTGGCCCGACGGTTTTAGACTTTAACCGCTGCCCTCCTCCGTCGACGCGATTTACCACCTTTATCACCCCGACTAAACCCCTACCCTACACGTGCCACCTCTGACCGCCCTCTTCTTTGTCCGACGCTGCGTACGATCCCCCTGCCCCCCTCCCCCCGCCAACGGTCATCAGGGTTTCTTACATCCCTCCGAGCTTCCTCTGAGTTTTGTCCACTGCAAGGGGAATTCCGGTTTTCCGATGGTTAGCCTTTTAGGGTGGCGTCTGGGCGATCTCAATTTGTGCACTGATCTGGTATCGAGGGGGTAGGATAATTTAATCAATGTTTTCAATGTTTTCAATTGCAATAGCTACGGGATTGATCAGGTAAGACGATTCTGTATCCTGTCCCGTTGAGAGCAGGGCTATTGAATGTTGATCCTTTGGAGATCCTGTTCGATTCTAATTTAAGGATTATTTCTTTTTTATTCTAATATATTCTAATTTAAGGATTGCTTCGGTTTCAGATAGTTCGATCGATTCACAAACGCTGTTCACGTTGATTGGAACAGCTGGCGGACTGGGTCTCAGCCAAGACGATTCTGTGAACCCTCGACGAAGAAAGGGGAGGTTCGTAGCATCCCCGAACGTGGATCTTTCACGGGGGATGAATGGCGGTATTATCAATGGACGAAGACCATCCGAGAGAAGACCATCGCATATGTGTTATTATGTTTACAGTATCCTGGTCATATCATGCTATCGTTACACTATCATTGGTCATATAATGTCTACATTACATCACATTTACATATAATGTTCCTAAAATTGGGATACGTAATTGTTACATGTCATAGTTTATCGATTGCCTGCATCTTGTTGCGTAACCGTTGCTTCGACTCGAAGTTCTATCGTCAGTGACAGTGACTTCTGTAGTATATTGCTTTCCGGACACGTGTTGATAATGAAACTCCTACGGCATTGATTACACCGTAAACAGTTTCGTTTATCTAGCGAACATAGAAAGAAACGCAACGTTCCTCGAGATACAAAGCATCTTTCTAACGTTCTAATATTTGCCGGCATTTGATAAGCGCCCGGCACTCGATCGCGACGCTGCTCGACGCCGGTTGAGTCACGGCTTAATAAAAACCCACTAACAGATTCATTATTTCAGGGCACCCGGAGGGAAACGTCATGGACACCGTGTAAATGGCAGGCATAACCGTAACTCTCGCGGCACGGTGTACCTTTCGCGGCCGGAGAATGTACGAGCCGAAAAACGCCGCGGCGCGCCGGGAAGAACGACTGCCGGCCAACGTTTCCCGGGAGGAGGATCGACGCTCCCGGATCGATCCTCGCGCCGCAGGACGGGTTCAACCCCTCGCGAGGGGTGTTCGGCTAATTTTAAACTCGAGAGGCTATTACAATTACAGAACATCTCGGCCGGGCACGCAATGTTTACGAAACGCTTACTTGGTACTTAAGCAGTCATTATCGATGGGTCACGAAAGTAATTGAACCCGCGCGTCGCTATTCGTTCCATATATACATATGTCGTATATGTAAATCTCTTATCTGCGCTCGCGGCCGAGTAGTTTAACGATCCAAATATTTTTGCCGACGCGCAAATAAATCGCACGGGTCCCGTTTGATTTATATTGTTGTAATATCTGTTTCAGCGAGACGTCGACAGATATCGGCGACCTTAAAGAAAATCGTGCTCCAAAACAAGTCGCGGTTACGGAGATTACGGTGCATTACGGATTTACAGATACCGCAAATTATGCGGTCGGGATGTATATATGTCGACGGGGAAGTAGAATCGGTAACAAGGTTCGAGCAACGACTGGCAGCGGATTCCGCGGTGCGACGATCTCCGGAGGAAAAGTCACCAGCCTTGGTTTTTTTTTCTTTCGAGCGCGCCTATACAGATCGCCGAAGTACGTAGCAACTTATCGACGATTGTATAACCGGATGACGTGTCCGTTTGGTCGCAGCGTCGCGGGAGGATTAATGTGCTCCGTCGTTTAATAGTGCGGACACGGTAACGGCGACGGACGGACCGAGCCGAAACGCACGCGTAAACAGACGTGACACGCGGCGACCGCATTTCCATGGCTGCTCCGATGTTGTGATTTAAGAGCGGCATCGACAGGTAGTCGACGCTACGGTGGACCCATTAAATCCGAAGAAATGCTGCGCACGTTCAAGGCGATCCCAGCAGCAAGCAGCAACGGCTGCTGGCAGCTCTGCGGAGGAATCTTTGCAGCGGAAAAGCCGCACGGTGAGTTCACCTCGACTTGCCGCGGTCTGGTCTCGGAGCGAACGCGAAGGACACTTGCGAAAGTGGATAATAAATAAATAATAATAATAAGTAAAGAGTAAATAGAGTCATGTCTTTCTAATCGACTCTCGGCTTTTACACAAAAGAGGACAATTTGGGAAGAGATACGATTATTCGTGTTTTGAATAATCGTGCTTGCTCTTCCCAAATTGTCCATTTCCGTTTCTGAGGATCGATTAGCGAGGATTTACCGTATAGATGTGAATCTCGTGAAAATGAAGATCGTCTTCAAGAACAATTCCCCAAGCAATCGGTCGAATTCCGACGTTTACGAGGGAATATTTTACAGAGATTAGAACTTAACTTAGCGTCCACAATTTTGCACTATCTTGCATGTACGTCTTTAAGTTAATGTTTCGATCTGCTTGGTACGTTGTAGCACGATCTGCTACACATTGTCCATTACAATCACCGAAATCTGACGCATATGTGGTACACATTCGTTGCAATCGAGACGAACAATTTTTCTATCTCGCGAAATCTCTTTCCGCAGACAACGGACGGACGTGGAAACAGCGGCGGGTGTCCGTGCAACAAAAGCGACTTAATCACGATGCTGGGACGAATTTGGCGCACATAGCGCACGGCGGGAACGTGCCGTTGTTGAACTGGACCGTCGGCGAACTGGTCGGCACGGCAGCGGAGAGATGGCCGAACAAAGTCTGCCTGGTGTCTGTCGAACAAGACATTCGTCTGACGTTCTCGGAGCTGTTGCGTCGAGGTGATCGTCTGGCGGCAGGTCTGAGGAGTCTGGGCCTGAGAAGAGGCGACCGCGTGGGAATCTGGGGCCCGAACCAGGCGGAGTGGCTGCTGTCTTTCGTGGCGATAGCCAGGGCCGGGATGATCGTGGTTGCGATCAACCCCGCGTACCAACAGGACGAGATCAACTATTGCTTGGAGAAGGTTGGCGTCGCCGCGGTGATCTCGCCGAAGAGCTTCAAGAGCCAAAACTACCCGGGCATGCTGCTCACAGCGATGCGGCACTGTCCCAGTTTGCGGCACATAATTATCAATTCGAAGGATCACGTGACGTAAGGAAGCGCTCGATCAACGTCGGGCCAGCGCCGCGAGACGCTGGCCCGAAACAAATCAATCCCGGACGCGCTCTCTCTCTCTTATCTCCCGCGGAATGATAGAGCCCGCAGGCCCCGTGGAATTCCGTCTAATTTAAGCGAGGGGACGGGACACCGCGCGATAACTCTTGGTATCCGGCTAGGGCGGGTCGATAGCGGGACAGGACGGCGACGAAGCCACGTAAATCCTTCGTCCTTAGGAAATGCGGTCGTATCGGGCGTAGAACTGGTCGCAGGAGGACGGCCGGGTCGCGGGCCACCCTCCCGCCTAGGGGTAAATTCGTCGCGAACCCTCGTTTCTCCTGATAAGTGCGGATCGGACGAGGTCGAGCGCGGCCGCGGCCGGTTTTAATGTATTCGCGTACCCGCTCGATCATTCTACGAGCCCTGCCGCGGTCCCGTGAGTCATGAATATCGCGTGTGCCCAAGCCGCGCCGACATCGACACGCGTAAATCGCGTATTCGGTTACCAGCGAAGCGGGTTAAGGCCCATTTATGATCATCGACGTGCCGGGCACGAGCCGAGCGGAACGAGTACATCGTCGTAGCATGCATCGATACTGTTCCATCGTTAGTTCCGATTGCGTTCGTTCATGGAAATCCCAATGACCAAATGTATTCTTTGTTCGATCGCATTTGAAAGAAATGTTTGAAAAAATTCGCTTCGCTGCCACGCCGCTTACGCCGTCTGCGTCGTTTTTGTGTCTAAATTGCAATTTGTTCGAACGACGAAAGTGAATAGGAAACTGACGGTTTTTTAACTTCTTTATCCGAGCCTGTAACGAACATTTAAACGCTGCGCTTTTTTCTAGGTCACTGTTACTTTCATGCATCCTCTAATAATTGATTAATTAATCAATTAATATATTCGCTAACAGTGTCACGCGTAGCATGATATTTAGAGAATTTATTTATAGCTTCTCTTCGAAATCGTTTCGGTTATATTTTATAAGAGGATGCGAAGCATTTAATACGTGACAGCGTACGTATCAATGAGTCGAATCACGTGGAACGATGATAAGTCGACGAATTATCTCTACTTTCGCTCTGTACTTCGGAACCGACCGTCAGAGAACAGGTTATTGACCATGGCTTATATTCTTTCGGAACGTTGTCGATAAGGAAAATTCGGTGTATCGTTCGTTTTCCTCGTTCGCGTTAAGTAATAGAAGTGCATTCCGATGCATTCTACGCGGACTAGAACGTGCCGTTGCGGAGGGAGATGGCGCGTATCTAATTGCAGAAGTACCAAACACGTAATTTCTATAGATAACAAACGATCATTCTCCTTATCCGATTGTTCGACAATTCAGTTTTCTGGCGATCTTCCTTGGCTTAGAAACGGGGGTTGAAAGCAGCTGTTTTCGAAACAGTCGCGAAGCGCCGCAACTGTTACACGTGGACTGCGGATTCGATGCATTTGTGGTAAACTCGACCGAGTACAGTAATGTCTCTCTAATTGACGCTCAGATTGTCCACTGAAATGGACAATTTGGGAAGTGGAGATAGAATAATTCGTATCGATTATATTTAGTTTGTTTTTATAGTTACGAATTGTCAACAATTATAAAAACGAGCCGCAAGGCTCGAACGATCGTATCTCCTCTACCCAAATTGTCCATTTCAGTGGACAATCTGAACGTCAATTAGGGAGACATTACTGTATGTCGAATACGGAACAGCGAGACGCATTAAAAATAATAACATACTATTACTTTCAACCGATGAAAATTATTACGAGAAAAAGATGCAGATCATTTTGCACATACATTAGCAGCACGACACTTTAATTCGTAACAGCCGGAACCGATTTGCAACAGTTCAAAGCAGTTATCATCGGAATCTTTCGAATCTCCGTTTAGCAGAGCCAGCGACTTTAGAATGAAACTATCCGGGATTCAAAAGCGATTCGATGTCGGCCGATTAGCGCGTCGCCGGCCGTTCGCCGCGCGCGCGAAAACGAATTACAGCGAGTGGCCTGGCAATCTGGTAAAAACGTATCCTCGCGAGTCCGTCTTCGCGGCTCGAGGCCGCAACCAGGCCACCTGCGGGCCACCTCGTCGATTGATCGTCCGCGCGCTCGCCCATCCGGCCAATCTATTTCCACCGGGGACTCGTAATTTCTCGAACTTTTGCCCGATCATCGGGGCCGATTTGATTAATAATCGCTGGCCCGCGAACGGAATCACCGTGACGCGCAATTAGGTTAATGGCTGTGTGCTGTTCGTGGCCTGCTGCCGCGCCGCGCCACACCGCCTTGGTTTCGTTTTCGAGATCCACCCGGCGATCGATGGGGCGGTCTCTGACGGTTCACGAATCTTTCGCAGGGGCACCCGACGGCTCTGCGACGTCGAGGAGCTGCCATCGAGGGGCGAGGTCGAGGCGATCGCCAAGGAACAGGAGGCGATCTCCTGCTACGACGGCAGCAACATTCAGTTCACCTCGGGGACCACTGGAAGGCCGAAGGCGGCTCTGCTAAGCCATAGGGGATTGGTGAACAACGCGCGGCAGGTAATTACAGCGATTCCTTAATCGCTAGGCCGCGGATGATTAAGCAAATGTACAGTTTTTTTTTCTAGATAATAGGTGCACCGATGGGACCTGGACAGAGACACATTTGTGTCACGGTACTTTCGAAAACACATTTCCTATTCCGCATATTTTCCATATCGCGCGTGTTTTGCATTTAGATTTTTTTTATAAATCGCATGCACGGCGTGTCTTTTACGCGAATGCTTAAAGTACTGGCGTCGAGGGAACGCAATTTTATTCCCATTTACCGTCGTTCATCACTCGACGGGTTACTATGAAAAATCTCCATCGACTAGTCAGACCCGTAACTCGACGTTTTCGATCCCCGTTCGAAACGAGCAGAGTAAATCGTTGGCTCGGTTGTCCGATGGAGAACGAGCCGGCGTTATGATCCGTCTGGAAATCGCGCCGGTAATCTAATAAAGATATAGCCGCCGAGAACTTCATTCTAACCGCGGGCATTTAATGGCTCGTCGCGATGGCACGCGAGGAAAAAAGTGAAAGGCTCCCTCGGTGCTATAGAAGCTTGTATAGGACAAATGTAATTGGTTTTAGTAGCTCGTTCGCTGGTTTACCGGTTCGTTCCGGCGATTACATCGAAGCGTGTGTATCTAGGGGCAATCCAGGCGCGCAAACCGCGTCGATCATGGAACGATCGCGGCGAGGGAAACTCTGTCCCTCGAAACCTGTAAACCCGAACGAATCTATAAACCTTGACAATGATGTACAAAAGTAGAGAAAGAGAAAGAGAGAGAGAGAGAGTTAACCGGTTCTGCGGTTAGGTTCTAGAGCGAATGGAGATGCGCGAGGAGCTTAAGGCCTGCATGAACGTGCCATTCTTCCACGTGTTCGGCGTCGTGAAGAGCCTGGAGATGATGCACGCCGGGACCACGATCGTGCTCGAGTCACCCTCGTTCAACCCGGTGAAGTCGATCGAGGCGATCCTGAAAGAGAAATGCGAGATCGCTTATGGTACACCGACGATGTGGGTAAGTAGACCGACGACTACGCGCCATCGGCTTTACGAGCCGGCAATAAAATCCTCGTCGGCCCTGTTCAAATAACACGCACAGAAACCGTTTGCGCACAGATCAATCTTCTCGACACCTATCAACGGCTCCAGCCACCCCCGATCACGCTGTACTGCGGGGTCACCGGCGGATCCCCCGCCTCGCCGGAGCTCTTCAAGAGGATACGCGAGTGTTTCCGCTTCGACAAGATTAAGGTAAACGCCGCCGGGGATTGCCGGATGGTCGTTCGATCCGCGAGAAAGTCCAAGGAACCTCGGACACCTTGGTCCGGTTTTTGCGTCGCCTTGGTTCTAGCACGCGTCAGCCTTGACTCGAGGAGGAACGAGCGAGCCGGGACACTCGAGGAACGGCTGCGCGAACGTGCAGTGGCATTTTTAAGCATGCACCATGTACAGCTGACCATCGCTATCTCCGCTTATCCTTGAAATTGCTTTACCAGAACGATACCCCGCGTCTCACCTGCGCCAGATAACGGGGAACACTCTCGCGATTTCATAGAGCTTTAGATAGCGGGTCAGATAAGGTCACAGCTATCAGCGCTGCCGTACACTCCTTTTTCCTTACCCGGGAGAGCGACCCTAAATGTCCAACTTCGATTTCGCGGTCGTTCATGCGTTATCTTCTTCTTCTATCTTCAACGATGGCAGGAGAAGGTAACCATTCGACGTTGCAGCGCGATTACGTGAAACCTGTTGTTTATCTATTTATTTATTCGTTCATTTAGGCATGCGTGTATTCATTTATTTACTTATCTGTTTGTCTATTTATTTATTCATTTATTTATTCATTCATTTATTCGTTTATTTTTTTATTTATTCATTTATACATTTATTCATTCATTTATTTATTCATTCATTCATTCATTCATTTATTTATTTATTTGTCTATTTACCTACTTATCTATTTGTCTACTTATCTATTCGTCCACTTATTTATTCCTTGTACAGACGAAACTGTTCAGTACGCAATGCTGACAAGGCTCGAATAATCGTATCTCCTGTTCCCAAATTGTCCATTTTTCTGCACAATCTGAGTGTCAGTTAGGGAGACATTACTGTAATTAATTAGAGTCTCGAAGTCGCGGCGAGTTAGAGGGGTCTGAAATGGAAGTTTCGTTTGCGATCACGCTACCCCAACCGTCCGACGAACCGAAGAAACTTTCTTCCGTTCGCGGTGAACGGTTAATAATAGTGCGCGGGGGGCCAGTCGTTCCCATCGGCCTATCCATAATTGTCGAAATATCTTTGGCCGCCGGTAGACCCCGGGTATCGCCAAGGGTCGTCGACTCGAGGCGGGTCGCGGGGTTCCGATTCGGGCCTGTATAACGCGTCGCGTACGGCCGTTATCTATGCACATATCTCCCGCGCCGAGCAACTCCTCGGTTCGTATGCATAAATACGATTCCGCGAGGAGAAATATCGTTCCTCGCTACCCGCGATCAATAACGTTCCCTTTCGCGAAATCGGCTCCCGAGGTTGTTCCCGGCGTTTATTACGTTCCATCGGTCTGGCCGCGGCCGCTTTCATGCTTTCCTTATGGGTTCTCCGTTTCGTGAAAAGTCCTCGGCGGTGTCTCGCTCGCTCTCCGACCATTCGACGCGATACCGAGCATCGATCGAATCGAACATTACGGGCGAATTAAGTTTTACCAGGCCTAGACGCGTCGAATTTGATCGCAGTCGCATGCGAAACACCGTGACGAGATTATGGCCGGCGTTGGTTTAACACCTTGTCCACTGTACTATGTACAGCTTTTTCTTGTAGTAATTATTTATGTATTTCCATCTGTTCGCTCCAATTCGCCTGAAAATTTTCTAAACATATATTCCCGTTTCAGCTAAATTCGCTGTTTAAGCGGCAATTTAAATTTTCGAAGCATGCTCGTCGGAAACAGCTAATACAGTAATGTCTCCCTAACTGACGCTCAGATTGTGCACAAAAATGGACAATTTGGGAAGAGGAGATACGATTATTCGAGCCTCACGCCTCACGTTTTTTTTATAGTTGTTGACAATTCGTAACTATAACAATGAACTGCGAGGATCGAATAATCGTATCTGCTCTCTCTAAATTGTCCATTTCTGTGGACAATCTGAGTGTCAATTAGAGAGACATTGCTGTAAATGGTTGAGAGGAATCCGGACGATCTCTTTCCTTTGCTCGTTCAACTTCCAACAGTTCTTCCGACTGAAAAGCGTGTTGTAATTCTTTTCGGCAGACTATCTACGGCCAGACGGAGGCAACTGCGGTGGTCTGCCAGTCGCTGCCAGGCGAGGCCGCGGAATTGACGGAGACCACGATCGGCCACATCTCCTGCCACACGGAGCTCAAGGTGAGAAGTCGCCTATTCTCTTTCTTTCTCGAATCCTTCTAACGTTCTTGCGTCAACTCGAAGGTCGTGGACTCCAAAGGCGAGACGGTGCCCTTCGGGACAGTCGGGGAGCTACTGGTACGCAGCTACGGCGTGATGATCAAGTACTGGGACGACGAAGAGAACACGAAGAAGACCGTGACGGAGGACGGCTGGATGATAACCGGCGACCAATTCATTCTGCGCTCGGACGGCTACGGGCACATAGTCGGTCGACTGAAGGACATGGTGATCCGGGGCGGCGAGAACATTTACCCAAAGGTGGGGTCATCGAAAAGAGAGTTGGCCACGATCCACAACTTCGGATGACTTCGATTTATTCATTTATTTACAAACGGGTTAGACCTTTTGGCACAACAAGATACAGATAAAAAGTATTACGCAGAATAGTGTATATTTTAATGGTAAAAATGTTTCGTAAATCGTTTCTTGAAGGATGAACTTCGTAAAAGCCTGAAACGTCTATAAAAGCCGGACGAAGTCGGAGCGACCTGTTTCATAACGTAAGAACAGAGGATTTTGATTCGTTTAATAGACTACTTGCTTAATAGACTGTACCAAGAATCGAGTTACCAGTTCGTTAACGAAATCGTGTCGCCCATGCATGAGCGACGCCGTGAAACGTGTACGAAAGCCCGCGGTAGAAAAGTTGCATTTTGGCCAACTATTTTTGAGAGGTAGCGTGCCGTGACTCGGAGCAGTTCGATCCCGTTTATCCCCGTAAATCACGGTTTCCAGGAGGTCGAGGACTTCTTGATGACGCATCCCCAGGTGCTCGAGGCGCAAGTCGTCGGCGTGCACGACGACGTCTACGGCGAGGAGATGTGCGCGTGCGTGCGTGTTCGCGAAGGCGCCAGGATCACCAAGGAGGAGCTCAGGGAGTACGGCAAGGGCAGGATAGCGCACTACAAGATACCACGGTACATCGAGTTCGTCGACGAGTACCCGAAGACCACCAGCGGCAAGGTGCAAAAGTTCCTGCTGAAACAGGAAATGGAGCGAAGCGGCGCGGTCCCGGCGAGCCCGCGAACATCTGGCCGGCTCGCGAAGTCCGCCTGCCATTATTAACCCTTTGCGGTCTGATCTCGTCCGAAGATCAGAGCGTCACCACCCGTGGAAGTCGCGCGAAATCGGAATAATATTCCGGCGTAATTGAGACGTAATATTTTGTGACTGTTTATACATAAGCGTAAGAAATGCTTGCTTTATGCATCGCGTATTTCGCACACTGTCTGTAGATGGAGCGTACGAAATCGTTTGCGTTAGTCGAACAAGAAAGTTCGTCGAAGAAAATTGTACTGCCTGGACAAAAGTATGAGACCTCAAGAAACAAAAGTATGAAAATGATTGCAGTAAATTCTCCCTGATTTTCCTTCGGCTTGTAAACGAAAGTGGACAGTTTGGGAAGAGGAGATACGATTATTCGAGCCTTGCACCTCGTTCTCGTAATTGTTCACAATCGGCAACTATAAAAATTAGGGAGAACTTACTGTATTTATTTTGAAGAAACGCACTACTCTCTGTAGTCTCTTTTAAATTGTAGCACAAATTATAACTTGTTTCATGCAAGATTCTTATTCGTTTTTAAGAGTAAATCGCGCAATTTATAATTGATACACCTCTTCCATTCGTCGATGCTATTATATCGTTCTCGTCTTTTCGTTTTTCCTGGCTCTCCCACGACACTGTATTTTTCATTAACGCTAAACCAATGCCAAATCGTACGTTCTTGCGGTATAACATAGCACGCGATATCTGCGAAGACGAAACGCGTCTCACTCTTTTGTCCGGCGCCTTATCAGGGTTTATAAATGCCGAATCGCGGATCCGTTCATAGTTAGCGAGCTGGCCGAATTTCACCCCTGGCCTGGTTTCCAGATGACTGTCCGTGAGCACCGAAGCTCGCATGGAAATCCGCAATCCAACAATGACAAAATCTAAAGCGACACGAACCCTCTCGATCGTCCCGATACATACGATTACAGAGCGCGGCGAAAAATATTTCTGGAATACGTGGCCGTCGTTTTCGAAGCGCGACACGTCGGGTCACACCCTATCCAGCACCCCGAAGTACCGGTACCCACCCCCTTCGTCGGCCCATTCCGAAGAAACTCCGCGAAAGTGCGCGCGCTTCGGCCAAACGAACTTTCGTCGGGAATTTACGTCGTCCAGTTTCTCTTGACCGTGCAGATAGCGGGCAATCGTGAGATAACAGGATCGTAATTTCTCTTTATCCAAAGTGTTATCGCTGGAAAGGTCAGGGTGAGCGAGAGGCCCGCTTTCGCGCGCCGCGGCAGATCGCGCCACGTGTCTGTGCAGCGGCACGCGCGCGCGGCAACGTGGAGAACTGTGTTATCGCGGACGGTACAGCGGCGCGGACTATTTCAGATAGTCGTCTTATCAAAAACCGTCGGCCTCAACCCTTCCGCGAAACCCGGAATTCCGCGAACGCGAACGCGGCGTCCGAACGCCGAACTTTGGCGAGCGTTTTTCATGGCGAAGCCTGCGGAAGGCCGGAAAGTGATCGATGATCGATGACACGCGCGTGCAGGAAGCGGATAATGAGGCGCAACGATGAGGAAAGGAAGGAAGCCGAGGAAGCTGCAGCGAAAGGACGGACGCGTCTGGCGGACGGGAGAAAGAAGCCATCGAAATCCGCGGATCCGAGCCGGGCACGTGTTTCAGGTGGCGTCTAATTGAGGCCGGCCGGCCCCGAAGCGACAGGTCCCGGCTCGGCGAGCACTGGAGGACTCGAAGACGTGGAAGAGGCGTGCATTACCGCGGCAGATGGTGGTCGTGATTGCAGCTGCTCCGCGCGGCACACCTGCCGTCCTTTCTCGCCGTCTATCGAGACGGACGAAATCACTGTCCAGCCTCTTCCCCGCCGCGCATCTCTCCTCCGGTTTTTCGATCCAGGTCTCTCGCGATCCGAGAAGAAAGGAACACGGTCGGCGGCCATCGATCGCCGTATCTCCTCGACGGAATCTCGAGCGCAGGAATCCCGAGCGAACGCGCAGGAAGGAAGCAAAGCGATGTTTACCGCGGCGAGCATTGCCGGAATCTTTTTAAACATCCCCGGCGGGCAGGGAAAAAACCGGGCCGAGATGGGGCTCGTAGTCGGGCTGTCTCAGGAGCGAAATTAATTCTGGCGCGCGGCCAGAATCCACGAACGCGGGACGCGAAACACGGGGCTGCTGCCCGGCGAAACGCGGAACACGGTGGACGGCGGGCACGAAGGGGATGATAGCGAAGGGGCGAGTTTGGCCGGGACAGATCCGCGGGAAAATTATCCGGGGAAAATCGGTGGCCGGTTCGCGAGCCCGACAGCCGGATAGACGAGCATGACGGAGGATTCACTGCGGAGGGTTTCCTGCAGAGCCCTCTGAAAGGCCGAACCGGTTAACGAGCTGTCGATTGTCGCACGTCGACGGATTCGGCAGTCAGAAGTCGGCCCCGTGTCACCGGTAAACGTCGATGCAGCAGCGTCTTGCTGCTCGCGTAGATCCGTCTTTCCCCGCTCGAAATTCTTGCCGATCGATTCGTCTTTGCGTGCCGGCTCGATTTCCGTCGGCGCGACGCGACGCGATTCGGCGAACAATGAGACCGCGCGCGACGCGACGGGACGCGCGGAACGATGAAAAATGGAAGGCGAAGGACGAGGAACGACGCCGGAGCCGGTGCGATCGAAGGAAGGAGAAAGAATGGGAAGAAATTCCAGCGCGGTAGGGCGGAGAATGGCGGTAAATTAATAATGGCAGCGGCCTCGGAGCCGGAGCGGGTACGGAACGGACGCGCGGAGGCGGAGGAGGCGAGTTCGTTTAATCGCTTAATCGAGACTCCAGAATGCCTGGCGAACCGAAGGCTCCGCGCGCTTTCCTTTCGTCCCGATGAAAGCTCTCGAAAGGGTCGGCAATTACTTAAAAACGAAGTTGCGCGCCATCATCGCCGCCGACGCCGCCGCCGCCGCGTTTTCATTCGACCCCCATACCATCGCGGCGAGGTCCCGCGCCGGTTCGCCTCTTTCCGGTTTCTTTCAGACCCAGAGGCTGCTGCCTCCTCCGCGAGCGTGTCCGAAAAACGGACTGCCACACACAGTCGCACGACGCAAAGAATCTGGACCGACTCGCTCCTTCGGATAGAGCTGTTTTTCTATCCTCTATCTCTAAGCCGCGCGGTTTTTACGTCCGAGGAGGACACGGTCGTTCGTATAATGGAACAGTCCTTCTCTAAGTCGCGTTTTTGCCCCACGGTTTCTACGTGTTTTTAGAACGAAATTGAGTAAAGACTGCGATTCGAAACAGCGGCGAGACGAAAGACGATTTCGATCTAACGAAATCGATAACGAGGGAAACTAAGCTTCTAAGTGACTTCGATCTTTTGCGATGAATGCGGACAATTTTTATTTCGCGCGAGGATCCGCAGTCAAGGTATAATATATTGTATTAGCACTGACGCAACTGTGTCGGTCAAAATGACCGTTTAAATGACCGCGTAAAATGATCGTTTTAAATTGCTGAAGCAGCAATAATAAAATTCGAGGCTCTTTAACAAGAGAAATTATTCGACCGGTGTACTGGTTCATGCAACCATTGGTACAAAAATATCGGAAGTTCTGTATAAATCGAATCTCGTCATTCTTAAAGAACAACGCGCGTAAATGCTTTTAATGATCGACGAGTTTAGCTAGTTAAGTCGTCTCGTAAATTCGTCCCCTTCGCCGTTATCGATCTATCTACACCGGACTCGATCGTTTAAACGGTTCTCTTTCTCCGAAACACACCTTAAAAGGTACGCAAACCCATTCGCGGCTCGAACTTACGGGACGATCTAATAAAAGTGCAACGGATCGCCTGCTTAACGCCAGGTCGATCGAGACTGCGGATCGATTTTTCGAAACCGAACGCGAAGCATCGATCCCGGGTCCTCGCTAATTCCAGAGATTAGGCCAAAAATAAATTGCGACAAATAGTGCCGCAAAGAAAGCAGACTGTAACGAAATCGACGCGCGAAACGAATGCGATCGAGATGCTCCGAGTTCTCCGCGAGCACGACCCCGCGATTCGCAATTTATTTCGGAGCAACTTGCGAGCTCCGCTTTAAGATCCGCTAACGAACGACTCGCCGTCTTACTGTGCTCTCCGAACTTCCGGCGAACAAAGTTAAGTTTCCGGGTATCTTTGAGAATAACGGAGATCAATGGCGGCGATGCGTGCGCGATGCAGATCGCTCGATACGCCGCCCGATAACTGGCCGTTCCCGTCTGGTTATCGAGCGGGCTGCTCTCTCCGGCGAGTGACGACAGCAATATCCAAATAGTAAAACGGATGGCAGCCGGCTCGAGGGCAGGGTAAACACTCGCATAGCGGCCGGATCGATGGAAGGCACGCAACCACCGTAATAAAAGAGCCGGCCCGCGTAAACGTAATCCAACCGGCTTTTCTGGTGCTCCCACCGAAAACCGGTGGCACGGGCGCACCTTGTTCCCGGCGCATCCGAAAGCGGAATCTGAAACTCGTCCGCGTTGCAGCACTCCGGTCGCCTCCGGAATCCGGTGCATGATGCAGGCCTGCCATGATCGCGATGCATCGTCGATGCGATCCTGCGAGCGATCGCGTGACGACGCGTCCGCGTCCTTTGAAACCGCGTCCCTCGGACAGGAAGCTGGAAGAATAGCTCTGCTCGGGATCCATTCTTTCGTCCCCGTGTTGTGCGTATCCATTCCCGCTTATTACGGCACGGAGTTCGCCGAGGCAAAAGAGTATGTGTCTCCGTCGCGTCGGTTTAGCATCTCCGCAAGTTCCGAAGGAACGTGAGCGACATACGCGCGCAAAGTCAACAGTCTACTGCTAACAGGATTAATCCTGGCTCGCATCGCGAGTCCGTACTTTATTGTGCAAGAACTCTCGGCCTGTAAACTAGGTCTTTGCTCGATGATATCTGCACCCGGATTGAATTAGCAAGTACCGTCGCACTGCGCGCGGCAACAATTCGACGTGCGTCTGCGGAATTGAAGAATCAGGCGATCGCGAACGCTTTTAACCCTTTAGGTACGAGCGCGCTGACACTCCCACTGTGTGTGCCGCGCCGAAAATGCGCGCGTAGACTGACAGGGTCAGTCCACTTTTGTACGAATCCGAAAGTGACGGGTTCCTCAGGTCATTTGAAGCAACTTCTTCATTTACAAAAATTTTCTCCGAGGCACCGTTAACGAGTTATTAACGAAAAACAGTGACCAATGAGAGGCGAGCTCGGTTGGCGCAAGGCAGCCGAGCCAATCAGCGGATCTGGGCTTCGCGCGCTCGTTGGCTCGGCCGCCTCGCGCCAATCGAGCTCGCCTCTCATTGGTCACTGTTTTTCGTTAATAACTCGTGAACAAAGCCTCGTAGAATATTTTCGCTAAGGAGAAAGTTGCTTCAAATGATCTCAGGAACGAACAACCGCGGAAAGAAGCGTGATCGAAAGTACGCGCGCGATCGCAGCGAGCGTTCGCGGAACCGCGAGTCTACGAAGTCGTCTATAGACGCTTCGCCGTGTAATCGATCACGGAACGAAGCAACGCGGAAGCTCGAAGCCCTGATAAATATTTCCGCGGAGACTCGTCACACAGCTCGGCT